GTATTCACATATACCATACACCATTAATAGAGCCGTGATAGCTCAGTGTCCGGGCGCTCGCCTTTAATTCAATATACTCCGAGCAACCTGAGTTCGATCCCCGTTGCCGGCACCAATGAAGTTTTTAACTTTAAGTGCTGACTTATCACGTGCTCCGCGGTGAAGGAAAACATCGTGAGGAAACCTGCATATTTTCGAAATAATAACAAAAAACAAAATATTTTTCGTAGATATGTGAAGTCCGCCAATCCGCAGTGGGGTCGCGTGGTGGACTATGCCCTGATACCCTCTGTATAGAGGAGGCCTTTGCCCAGCAGTGGCCCATGTATAGGCTGTTACTTTACTTTACTTTATACACCATTAAGTAGGTAATTCATTCAATCATGAATAAAGTAATTCAACATGTAAATATTTGTACATATCTAAAGAGATTACCGATAAAATAATATGTCCCCAGTTTGTGTAAATATCCTATTGTTTACCGTCAGAATTTATGGCCGTTCGGATCCCACAATCTTGTTGGAGCCACCTGCGTTCCTTTCTATTGTGACTACGTTGTTTTATTTACGTGGTATGATATTGAAAAATAGTAATATCCTAGTTTATACAAGTGAATCGTAGTCTGCCTATATAAATTTGCTTAGTCATCTTCAGGTATTGCATTAGTAACAATAAATTTTACGACTTATTTAACGTATTTATTGCGTTTTAATTTCATTCTAATTCACGATATTTCGAAGAGCTGAGTCATCGAGGCCATGGGAGAATATGTCCAGTCACCAAAAAACTATAATTTTAATTACTGATGTGTACTAAGCAGTAGTGCAGTTGCTAAGCTATTATTGGCTTTGGTGATTGGGGTTGTGTGTTTGATTCCCACCTGGCCAAGTATTTGTATGTGTGGCCCACAGACAACCTAGACGATTGTCTGTGGGCCACACAAATTATCTAGATGATCTGGGTGTTTACTTCTAAAGAGTATTTACGTCAGGGATGCTACTTCCCGAAGTCGAAAAAAATATAGCTAACAATACTAATAACAGCATGTTGTGCTGACCCCATCTGTGTAGTATTCACTTAAATATAAGAAATCACTAATAAAAAATACTGTTCAAATGATAATGGAAAAACTGTTCAATGCCTAAAGTTATTGTATTCTTTAAAAAGCAGCTATTTAAATATGGCTTCCGACATTCTATAGTCAGAAATTTTGAGTATAGGCAAAAGAAATAATGGAAAAGAAGAATGTCAATGGTAAACTCGATGGTAACATCTCGTACATCATAGAAAAATAACCGTTATTATAATATATAATAATTATATTTAAAATCGTTTTTCTACTTTGCTCAGGGTCCCCATAGATGATATCCATGAGCTTCTTTAAAATCAGGCAGCATACATTATGTCCCTCTTTTCACCATGCATGACACTTATATAGCCATGTTATAAACCAACTTTTAGACTAAACCATATTCTGTGTGGAAATAACCTCAACCGATTGGAAACGGAAATTAATTAGAAAAACTAGTAATAGATCTTAACAATCATGAGTTCTTGAAACATGGCAAGATAGAAAATAAAAATTGTTTGCCAAAAAAAGTGCTCAACTCGATCACTAACAGATTCACGTTAGTAACGCAACATTATACAGTTGTCGGTTATTTTTATGCAAAAATCAAGAGCAAACAGCACGCTTGCGACGTTGATGGATGGGGCGTTTGGGGCGAAACGAAACGAGCCACGAACGGCGAACAGAATTGCTTCATTTCCTAAGTCGCATTATAATGCAACATTTTAAGCGTACGCCTACGCTGTTGAAGGAGTAGTACATACATATTATATAAGATACATATGATTAATCTCATCGTTCTGCCTAATGTGTTTAAAGAAGTTACTTTAAGTTTTGTTTTACTTTATAAATTTTATTATTATTATTATTTATACTTTATTGTACACCACAAAAAGTTTTAAACAGTTCATATAAAATAAATCTTAAAAGCTAGGTACAATAAGGCGGTCTTATCGCTAAAGAGCGATATTTTCCAGACAACCTTAGGACAAGGAAAATAAACTTATGAAAAGTGGGAGGTGGTGTGCTTAATAAACTTACTTAATAATAATAAAATAAATTATAATAAACATAAATAAATATATAATATATATAATTAACATAAATAAATATATGAAAGTATAATAGATTAATATTGTCAATGTTACCTATGGATTACAAAGGGAAAGATAGTGATTCTTTACGTCATTTTTAAATTTGTCTAGCGTCGTTGCACGACGAGCGATTTTATTTTTTGATTCGCTTGTTTTTTACCAACATTTTTTTACTTTTGCTGCACGTACCATTAACTCATCTACATCTGGGATGACTGGTGGAGAATGGATTTGTTTATTAAATTCTCCCTTTGTTACCTCATTTAAGGTTAGCAATACAGATAAAATAAATAAATGAAAAATTAATAGTAAATTTAATAGTTGTTAATATCATTAAAACATATCCCCTATTTATAATGTGATAAGGAAGCATAAGAACATTAAGTAATAAATAAGAGGTACACAACAATCTGACACAATCTTACAATTTTAAACTTAGAAGAAAGTACAAAATATCAAGCCATGACCACACTGAAATATGGTTTCATTAAGATTGATTTTCAGATATCTTATACAACTTATGAATTTCTATACACGCTTGCCAAATAATAAATGAAATACCTAATACTTCACAAAAGCCAATGGGAAAGATTGAAAAGGCAATATGAACCTCATAAAATCCCACCAAAAGACAGTGAATACGTGCAACGCTTACATGAACTGTCGCAAAAATGGATCAAGTCATGGCCAGACATAGTGCACGTAATGAAAAAAATGAACGATTTATTATTGTAAATGTTAACGCAATAGTCTGTTTCTGTTGCAGGAGTGGGCAAGTCCGTCCGGATAAGTACCACGACCACACAGAAGATAGGCATTGAGTGGAAGTGTTATACATGTGCGTTTCGTCTAGTGAGTGAGTTAGCCGGGGCCAACTTTATTATGAGGTGGCAACGCATCTACCACCCCGCGGGGGTTGCAAATGTCAATGGGCGGCGGTTCTCACATAAAAAAATACAAAATATGACAAAGTAATTTAAAGTGTAGAATATATCGTAATATATTCTGCACTTTAAATTACTTTGTCTTTTGTATATAATGTAATAGAAAATATGTTTATATTAATGACTATTTATCGTCATAAGCATTCGACACTATAATTTATGAAATTTTACGAAACTTCCTAAAATAATTTTATATTAACTTTAGGGTCACGTGCAATTATGTAATAAAATCGAAGCAGGAAAGAATTCCGATATTAAAGCAGAAATAAAAAAGTTTGCATTGAGAACGGAAAAAGATACCTCTAAAGCAGCTATATTAAAAGCGAAGCAATTAATTTTTGAGGACAGCTGCTATGGCAGACAACTAATAAGGTTTGACTATAAGGATTTTTAGTTTGTATTCTCGGGGACGAAAAGTAGAAAATAATAGATAGTCTCTAGATAAAAGATTGAGAAAAAATGGATGAAAAGTTTTTCGCCGCTGCGGGAGTCGATCCCACGTCTTCCGGATTCACGCCCAAATCCAATTCCAAATCACGAATACTTTTCGTTCATTTTTTTTCTACAAATTTTAATGTTTCATATTAAATGCAGAGATTATTTCTTTTCGTTTTTTTTCAGTTGTTTTTTTTTTTTTTTTTTTTTTTTTTTTTTTTTTTTTTTTTCGTTTTTTTTTTTTTTTTTTTTTTTTTAACACCGTTAAAATATACACCATTTTTCGTTTTTTTTTTTTTTTTAGAGTCAATTCATTATAAGGCAAATAAAAAGGGACAAAAATTGCTTTTACTTTAATTTTAGTTGCCTGATTGAGTCTAAAACGTTAGAGGAACGCGACGCCCAGATCAAATTTCAAAACGAATTAAAACAAAATAATGCAAAACAAGAATCTAAAGAGGAAGAACACCATACCAAAAATACTGCGGAGAAAACTTTGCAACAGAGAAAGAAAAAGGAAAACGAAATAGGATTAATAAACAAAACGATGTAAATAAAATTTGGCCATAATTATTAATTTGTGTAAATATAATACAATATTCACGTATTTTATTTATAAACAGGTTTGATATGCAGAAAAGACAAAGGGCTCACGAAAGGAACGTACAAAAGCAGAAAGAAATAGAAGACATGCGCCTGATAAAGCTACTTTTGCAAAATGAAGAAAAGTCTAAAGAAATATGTGTAAATTCTTGTCTTGCAAATTGATAACTTTATAATTTTTTTAAAATGGCCAAACGAGAAAACAATTCATTCGTTCGTTCGTACAAACGGTAAAGTAATTAACACCGAACACAAAGTTTTGTGTTATTACAATAAATACGGGTTTTATAAAAATGACTTAGGAATGTACATATATATCTCTTGACACACGGATTTATATCAAACGCAATAGCAAAATACCAATTTTAAGAAGTCTTTCTATAGAACTACAACGCACATACAAAATTGCAAGTTTCCCACCCCAGCGATTTAGGTTCTTTTTTGTTTATCAGCCTGCCATCTTCTCAATATAAATATTTTTGAACACTTAAAAGGGCTCGAGCAAGTTATTGCGTGAACAAAATATTGAATATGACAAATTGAGGCAAGAAATGGAGGCACGCCGCCAGAAAGAACAAGAAAAAGACGAAAGAATCAATCGAGTATGGCAGAAATACGGGGAGAGAGTACGATGTGGACAGCAATTGACGTATGAAAAGGTACACAAAACTTTAACGTACGATCACAATAATCTTTGGTTACAACAATATTTAAATTACCTACTGGCGTAATAAAACTTTATCTTATTGCAAATTAATATAATCTTGATACCTAACACAAAAGTGAATCTTTAAGATTAAAAAGGAAACATATGGCTCCTTCAAAAAGCAAAAGGTTTACCATATTCTAGAGGAAATGAAAAGGGAGGAAACTAATAAGTATAATGCTTTTGTTGAAAAAGGAATAAGAGATTTGGACGAAAGGTAAATTTTGATAATATATTATTTCGTCGTTTTGTTTTCTTTATTCATCCAAGGCCCGGCTCCAATCTATAAATTTAATGTTACTCCAGTTTATCTTGTCAATTATCTTTCAAAATTAATTGGTGAATTGATGACTAATTTGTTCCTTAAAGTATCTTATTAAGAGAAAAGAAGAAAGACGACATGAAAAAACAGCCGGAAATTGAAGAAATACAATTAGCGGAAATTGAAGAATTTGGACCTGAAAATTCGCGAAAATTAAATTCTTATCGTAGTTGCGATAGGCAAACTCTATTTTGTGGATCTTCAAAAAGGGATAAAAGAAATATACTCGGAAACGAAAAGGGTACATATAATTTTATTTTTAAATAATTTATTTAAACAACAGATTACATTTACATTACAACAGATTATATATTTTCCGTAAAAAGTAATGTAGTGATGATGGATAACACAAGTATGGAGTTAACACTAATGGCAATAAACACTAATATGGTTCTTAAGTTTTATCGTAGTAGCTCGGTATACGGATGCTCGTCTTTATTCGGAATTCTCGAACAACTCAGCTCAAATCCTAGTGCCATCATTACTTTTGTAATAACAATTTCACGTTCTGTTATTCAAGGACATTCTGGTCAAAACCTCTACTCTAATCCACTCTGTACAGGGATAGTCTTTGCCCAGCAGCAGACATACCCTATATGCTGTGACTTCATTGTTTTTCATTTTCGTATTCAAACGTAGGTTCTCCAACTTTTTTTTAATGTAAGAACATGGTTGGGAGCTGGCGGTTGACTTGGCTTGATAACATCCACCCATGGACCTTTACAACACCCGTGAATTAAAAATAAGTTGCCACTTTTCAATAAAGTGTGCATCGGTTACCTCACTCACCAGACGAAACGCACTTTAACTTCACGTCGCCCTTCTGTGTGGTCGTGGTACCTCCCTGGACTGACCTGCCTATACGTGCAACAGCAAAAACTTGCGTGGCCCTATTATAAAAAAGGTTCCTAATCTCTTTTGTTAATGTTGACAATCTATGTTTTTCTTTTTATTTAGATATGAGGGATTTTTTTTATAATTGGTGTATTTCTTCGGTAATTGAACTGGTTGAAAAAAAATGCTTTTAGGAAATAAGTCGTCGGGAATTTTGCTGCCATCAAAATCTCTAATAGAGAAGTTGAAGATACGCGAAAAGGAATCATCGCCGTGGAACGGAACAAAAACAGACCATGAGGAGTTTGCGATGCAAGCTAATAAAATAGTGCAAGAGTGTCGTCATAAAAAAATGGCGCGAAAAGTTGTTGATGTATGTACAAACTGAGTATGTCGTTTTTAGGGTTCCGTACCCAAAGGGTAAACGGAACCCTATTACTAAGACTCCGCTATCTGTCTGCCTGTCCATCTGTCACCAGGCTTTATTTCATGAAGCTTGATAGTTTAACAGTTGAACTTTTCACAGATGAATTATTACTGTATTTGTCACCAGGCTCATGAACCGTCATTTTGACAGTTGAAATTTTAACACAACCGAACTATTTCTGTTGCCGCTATAACACTACATATTAAAAAACAGAATGAAAAAATATTTAAGTGGGACTCCCTTACAACAGACATGATTTTTTTGCCATTTTTATGTATAATGTGTCAAAACCCTTCGCGCGCGAGTTCGAGTCGCACTTGGCCGATTTTTTTTAATTTTCTCCCTTGACAATACCCAACATAGTAGAAATGACCGAGCTAAGCTACGCTTCGTAATAGTTTATAGTTTAGTACAATGAGGACACTCATTTGGAAGTGGAAAAAATATTGTAAGTTTCAATATTAAGACATCCATTTTTCTTTCTCCTAATTAACATAATATTGCTTTCAGGAATACAAGAGAGTCAATTGTTTATACGGGAACAGTTTGCCTATTTCTTACTAGTGGAATGTTATGTAGCTATGGGGAGAGTTAAAAATAAAATAAAAAATTCTACAATCATTATACATTTTATTTTATTATACACAAGTATATACAATCGTCGGTCAAAAGATGTTTTTCCATAATATTTCACATGTTTCTTTACACGCATTCCGATTCATCTACAGTTGAGTAATAATATCAATAGAAAAAATGGTTAAGTTCAATATTTTGAAAAGTCGGTTAACACTGCTACACTTACTCTAAAATACAAAATAAATAACTTCAAATCACAATGTACAAGTACAGTCGGTAGCTGATAATTTTTGTCCACTAAGTAATGTTCATTAGGGAAGGAATGTGCTGACGACTGTACGGGGTGCATTTCTGAAGTATTTTCATCGTAAAAATGATTGCAGAAGGGCATTTTTTTAACTATACTATAACGCTATTGCTTTAGTTTGAGCGTCTTAGTTGAGAAATGTGAGAATATTATGTTAGTATCATAATATTTATTAACGTAGTCTAGCTAATGGTTAGCGAAATAGACACATTTACGCTTATACGACTTCATCGACGCTCAATCCCAAGAAATCGCGAAAATATTTCATAATTCCTATCAACACACTAATACTGTCTACGATAAGAAAGGTAGTTTATAGATTTGAAGTGCAGACAATTCGAAAAGCTTTTACCCATATGCGGTGCTAAACTTATTTATACGAGTTAAGTCGCAAAACAAGACGCCGCGATTCTAATATAAACGATTGAAAATTTAATGCGCTACAAATGAATACGTTCAACAATACACCCAATTTCTTATATGCATTATGTAGTTATAGGAGATTGGAGTATCAGTGTGTTGAGCCGATCCCTAGTAGGTGGATTGTTTCTGTTTGAGAACGGCTTGCACGCACTTCGCCATAGTGGGCGATGCGCGGCTAATGGCGTCTGTCATGAAATAATCCTCCAGATTCTTCATTTTCACGTCGAGATTACCCGACAGAGGCTTCTGGAGGCTCTGTGAAAAAGGAAAATATTAGATTTTTTTTTTATAGTGCTAGTCTCTGCACTTAAGATTAAACATTAAAATTTGTAGAAAAAGTACGAAATTATTGTCGCCGCTATGTGAATCGAACCCACGTCTTCGGCATTCGCGGCCTAACTCTTTAGCCACTTAGCTAAACGGCTGATTGCCACACCTATGAAAATCTTAACGTTTTTTATCTACATTGTTTTTTATCTACTATATTAGAGAAATATTAGAAATAAATCGCCACGAGACAATTCTTACGTGTCTCGCTCAGATAAGTATCACGCTAAACGTTAAAACTAATTTTTTTGGACAGTATGTTTTTCAATTCAATTTACTCAAATATTAGAGTCAACACTTATAATTGCAAGTAATAATTGGTACTGGGATTTGCACTCAGGTTGGTAGAATATAATGAGTTACATTGATTTTAATAATTAATAATAGTTAAATTTATCTGACAATAATATTTTTAGAAGCGACATATACAAATTAAGGGAAAATTTAAAAATAATTAAAAATAATCAGCATTATATTTTACTAATTACATATTATAACAATTAAAAAAGTACATAAAGGTACTATTAAAAAGGAAGGGATGGCGTAAAGATTTAACGCAATTATTAATACTAGTGGTCGCCCAATGGTCGAAATTCGACCCGCTATCTGTATATCTGTCTGTCTGTCCGTCTGTCACCAGGTTGTATCTCATGAACCTTGACAGTTAGTTGAATTTTTCACAGATAATGATGATATTTTCGTTGCCACTATAACAACCAACACTAAAAAACAGAATAAAAAAATATTTAAGACGGGCTCCCGTACAACAATTTTTTGCCGCTTTTACAGATAATGGTACGGAGCCCTCCGCGCGCGAGACCGACTCGCACTTACGCGGTTTCTCTATTTCCAATGCTTCACAAGTGAAATTTACCTGCGCGAGCGATCGAGCCTGCGCGAAGTAGTTGTTGTCCTGGACATCGCCGTACGCCACGAGCGCCGGGCTTATCTGGCTGAGGCGGTCGCGCACCTCGTCCAGGTTGTCGTACGGCAGACGCTTGCCGACCACCTCCGACAGAGCCCTGGTTTCGCAAGCGGCTGATGAGCGAACGTCGCTTTGGCACTGGACCCGTTAGAGGGCGGGGGAGGGGGGACGGCGCTTGGAAGGAACGTTGGTACGGCTATGACAATACTAATTAAAATACTAACCATTATTAATAATAATTTGTAAAGTAAATAGCTTTTTAGGAATCAGACCTAAGCTATCTCTATTTTATTCAATAATAAGCATAATAAAAAACTTTCAATCGTTATGTTTTCATTAAGGTAAAAGCAATTAAATATAACGTGAAGTATAAAAAAAACGAAACGACAAAAAAGCAAAGACTATATCAACAACGCTTTACAGTGCTGGCAGCATCGACCGTGTAAAATTATAAAAAAAAACTTGCGCGCGCCCGACGCGTCACCTGATGATCTTCCAGTCCTCGCGCGCCTTCCCCGGCGGCGTGACGGCCGGCAGCGTCTGCTGCGCGCGCCCCTCGGCGTTCACGTACGTGGCGCGCTTCTCCGTGTACGCGGCGCCGGGCAGCACGATGTCCGCCACCGAAGCGCCCGCGTCGCCGTGGTGGCCTGTGAAACGACCGCATACTGTGCAAAGCGCGATCGGACTTCGCAGGCCAACTGCGATGTCGGTAGAATTTGCCACACTGCCTTTTCTCGCACGAATATAAATTGTCAATGATCTTCCTACTTGCAACGTAGTTACTATGTATGTGTGTTGAATGCATGCGTATGTATGATCGGTCCAATTATCACAGATAACCTACCGTTTTTTGATGTTCCGTATTGCAATTTATTTTATTTTTAAATTACTATCGAACAGATACGTAGAGCATACTGAAAATGTCTGGACCTGGCCACTTACAAAAAAAATTATGGAATTCAAAAAAGGAATTCAGTTTCAGTTTTAATTTGCAAGTCGGTCATTTGTTTTACCATTGTTATGTCCTTTACAAAATTGTGTGTTAGCGACAGAATGAGTTTGTATCATAAAAATGAATTTAACAGAGGGGCTACCGAGGCGGCCATTTCTGGCAGACTCGCGAAAGTGAGCGAAAGCGAGCGAAAGCGTTTCCATGGCCCTGCCGTTATACGCCCTAGTTGTATGGAGGGTTGAAGTAAGGAGGACCATCTCGTATTTTAGTCGAAAAAGTGGCCACTTGTAAACAGCAAATTATTGTTCGAACTCTCACCGAAACAGCGCTAGTGTAGCAAGTGGAAATGATATGAACTTAGCAGTTATAAGCAGAGTGAAGTGTGCTATATAGTGTGTTATATCGTTGAAAATATAAATTTTTATTTCTTCATTTATATTTTAATATATTGTACTGTTAATATATTGTATTGTTAATAATAAATATTTATTGATTGCCTATTAAATCCGTTTTGGTGATTTCTACATTTAGATAATAATTATGAAACCTCTATAACCTTTTTTCAGCACGCGATTGTCTAAATGATTGAGAATTTGCTTGTTACAATTTTAATTGTTTTATTTTTTTTTATTTTGGTAATTCTTTAATACTATATTCTACTTGCTATTTACAAATAATTGGGGTACTTGAAAACACTGTATAATTTAAATTTTATTCCATACTCATTTTTGTCTATATATTACAATAAAATTTAAAAAATTGCGTTGTAACAAAGCGGAAATGTTTCTTTCCTTTTTTAATTTAGTACTCTAATAATTTGTGGCGCTCTATTTAAAATTCTTCCACTTGCTACTATAGCGCCAACTTAATTTGCTCCCTTTCAACGGACACTTCTTAATACACTGAGATGGTCCTCCTTACTTCAACCCTCCATACCTAGGTGGAACATGGTGGGGGTTTTAGTCGGTGTGAGACCGACATAACCCGTTACACTTGGCTTGAGGTGCCAACCTTGGTAGATGACCACCGCGTCCTTGGGCAGCGCGTCGCGGGTGACCACCCCGCCGTCGGCCCCCAGCAGGTAGACCACCTGCGGGCCGGCGGACAGCTGCGCCCCCACGCCGGGCTTGTAGCCGATGTCCAGGGCGGCCACCTGCGACGCGGTGCGCTGCAGCACGTTCAGCACCTGTCAAAGAAACGCTTGTTTTTTTTTTTTAAACGGTCCACGGCCGGTCCCAATTATAATCGCCAGTGTCGTTACAAACTAACAGCACTTACGGCGCCTGTTTAAAAAGCAGGGTTTGCTTTTTTTTAAACATCTTATGGTCATTGTCAAAATAAACTTACAGAAAAACTTAAACTTAAACTTACACAGAAAGAAACACTCGATATTTTTTTTTAATTCTCCCATCGCCAGTCATACTAAATATAACAGACAAGACGTTCGGAACCTCTTTAAAAGCAGAGTTTGTTTTTTTTAAATATCTTATGGCCATTCTTACAAAATCTTATGGCCAGCACCTGCCCAAAATAATCACGTTTTTAAGTCTTATATGGCTACTTTTACAATATTTTGTGGCCAGGGTGACAAACCTGAACGAAATCGTTAGTCATAATCCATAAAGCTATGATCAGGAAACATTTTATAGCTGATTAAAAACAAAAGAACTTTGAAGATATCAAAATAAATGTAGAACCAAAACAGTAACCAAAATTAACCAATTAAGATTCACTAAAGGGACTTTCTGGTTTTAATTATTTGCAAATTAGAAACAGGACCGAGTATTTATCAATTAAATTTATATCATATTTAATGTGCACCTTAAATTTTTCGACCATAGGATGTAGTAAACAAAGAATAGACTACATAAAGAGAAATAATTTGTAATATTGATTATTAAAGGACCAAGCAAGTCTGTTCTATCGAAACAAAAAAAAATTCTTTGCGTTCGCCACCTGTCTTACTAAAAAGTTATACAATGATGACGTCATCCTTCATGACGTCACATGCCGAACATTACCTTCCAGCTCTTATCCTCGAGCTGTTCCTGCAAGCGGAGGGCGAGCTCCTGCGTGTGCGCGAGCAGCGCCGGCCCCTCGGGCCCCTTGAGCTGGTCGGCGCCGAGGATGACGACCGGCCGACGAGCCTGTCGCAGCCGCTGGCCCACCTCGTGGGGCGACGAGCCTGTCGCCAGCTCGCGCACCAGCGACGCCGACTCGCCCACGTGCTGGACAGGAAGGCCACGACATTTATTTTATTTTTTTATTCGGAAACTTCGCAGCATACAATAATCACATTACAAAATATAATTCACAAAAATATTTAGCCCTTTAAGAAGTTACAATTTGTAGAGAAAACGGACGAAAAGTTATCTACCGCTGCGGGAATTGAACCCACATCATCCGGATGCACATCCGGACGCTTTAGCCACTAAGCTAAACCGTTTGCCACGCCGACGAAAATCTCAACATATTTTGTCTATGTTGTTTTTGTCATTTAAAGCAATGCTTGACGCATCTATTGGTATTTCCTTTACAGCACACAAACAATATCAATAAATTATTGTTTTATAAGGATAAAACGTAGCCTTGGCCAACGTCATTGAACTGGCGATCCCTGGTTTACAATTTTTTTTATTGAAAAGGCAGCCTTTAGTAAGTTATCACCGCCCATGGACACAAGCAACATCCAGAAATCCAGTAGATCGATGGACTAGCTTAGAGTAGTAGTACCTTGTGTACTCATTATAGTAGTAGTAACTTGTATACTATCATTCAATATACTCGAGCAACCCGAGTTCACGTCGCGGGGCCAACACCAATGCCTGTTAATTTTAAATGCCGACTTATCAGACCTCAGCGGTGAAGGAAAACACCGTGAGGAAAGCTGCATATTTTCGAAATAAAAAAAACATTTCGAAGATACGTGAAGTCCACCAATCCGCATTGGGGTCGCGTGGTTGACTTTGCCCTTATACATACTGTGCAAGGAGGCCTTTGCCCAGCAGTGGGACATATACAGGGCGATATTGAAGTCATGGGCATCCTTTTAAACTAAGACCCTATACAAGATACTAGTTACATTAAGACTAAAAATGTTAATCAAAAATTATTTATGCATTATTATCGTAAGTACGAAAATCCTCAAAAATCTGGTTAACATTCACGCTGTACAGGCTGATGCGACACTCACCGTGTAGTCGTAGGTGAGGTCGACCTTAGGGCCGATGAGCGCTACGTCCGTCTCCTTGTGCATGAACGCCTTCCTGATGCGGGTGTTCAGCAGTGGCGCCTCGAACCGCACGTTGGTACCAATGAGAAGCACGAAGTCCGCATCTTCCACGTCTGCAACGCGATTTGTCCATGCGATTATTGCTATTGCAATTTCGTAGTAACAAACTCAAAAAGCTCGACTGTAATGGCTGAAATTTATGAAAAGGCCAGTTATGATGTTTGAATCGAACAGTTTTTCTTTAATCTTTCTTTTATTTTTATTTAAAAAAAGAAAACATTGCCCTTACTTTAGGATAACATTATCCTGTGTTGTCAAACACCCAGATGCGAAACAACTATCTGTGGGTCGCACAAATAGTTGTCCCGTGTGGGAATCGAACCCACGACCCCCGACGCCAATACCTCGGCAACTGCGCCACGGAGTCATCAAAATCTAATGTAACTTTTTCAATGTGACGTCTGACTATCGCCATATTGGATTTCTTACTGTCATGTCTTTAGCGACGCTCGGTTTTCATTCAATTCAGCCAGCGCGTTTGGTCGCAAGAGCGCACAAAGAAACAAACATCAAACTCAAAAAATACATTCCCGTTTCTTTCTGCGTCCTGCAGTTAGGTAAAATTTTACTGCACGCTTACTACAATACATACAATACAAAATATTTAGTCTAAAATAAGACGTTCTACACGAAGGACAATAATATGGAAAGTTGTAAGTAATACCTGCTGTGCTGTAAGGATGCTTATAAACATAAATTTCACGTGGACATAAAAACACCCAGATGCGAAACATCTGTGGGTCACACAAATAGTTCCATGTGGGGTTCGACCCACGACTGCCGGACCCCCGGCGCCGAAGTCAATACCTTGGCAACTGCGCCACGGAGTCACCAAATAATTATTAATATTTTTTTATTTAATTTACTATAAATTCTTAATATTTTTTTTATTTTAAATGTATAGTTCAGTTACGAAGAGCGAAGAAAGTATGAGAGGCGCGTACCGAAGAAAAGCATACCGAAGATGCTTCTCGAGCCGGGTACCGAGTTAAGTAGAACCGGGTAGTGAGTATTTTGCATGACACTTCATTGAGATATAGTAAACGGAAGGTGTGAAGCATTTACTGGCGATTCCCGTGTTCAGGAGGTAGGTCGAGCGCAGGTCGATCCCGGCGCCCTCTAGCGGGAAGTATTGCTCGGTGCACGCGTTCTCGGAGCCCAGCCTGTTCACCAGGTCCTTCAGGGCGACCAGCGACTCCGCATCGGCCAAGTCGCCGGCAACTGCCAACAGCTGGAACAACAAACTTCATACTAGATCTTTGGCCTAATGCACCACGGTAATTTTCCGCCAGCAACTGAAGCAACAAACTTTATGCCAGATGTTTAAATTTTTTATAGTGCTAATCTCTGCACTTAAGATTGAACATTAAAATTTGTAGAAAAATTACGCTAGAGCGTGAGGCCGCGAATGCCGAAGACGTGGGTTCGATTCCCACAGCGGCGATAATCTTTTCGTACTTTTTCTACAAATTTTAATGTTCAATCTTAAGTGCAGAGATTAGCAATATAAAAAATTTAAATTTCTAAGAAGCAATGGCGACATCTCTCGTTCGAATTATCGTTGTAAAACGATATTCGAAATTGTTTGTATGCTGGAAAGGATTGCGCCAAGCATTGCTTCAAATGCTAAATAACAATGTAGAAAGAAGGCGTTAAGATTTTCGTCACTGTGGCTATCAGCCGTTTAGCTCAGTGGCTAAAACGTCAGGCCGCGAATGCCGAAGACGTGGGTTCGATTCCCACAGCGGCTATAATCTTTTCGTACTTTTTCTACAAATTTTATGCTAGATCTTTGGCCTAGTACGTCACGTTAATTTTCCATAATATGACACAATTGGCGTGGTTGATAGTGAAACTGTCTCTAACAGAAGCTGTTGGTTCGATCCCCACTACTATAAAATATTGTACATAGCGTTTTACTAGTATCTGGGTTTCTTCATATATCTAAAATGTATATTTATTTATAAAAGAAAAGTATGTTTAAGTATGTTTATCAGTTACCATTAGTGCAAACTTAGTTTGGGATTAGATACCGTCGTGTAAAAATAGTATGGTTTTGAAATACTTTATTCTTATCAACGAAATGTAAGGAACTCCAAAACACCAATTTCCACGGTACATATACTTTAACCGAGTTCGTATAAATAATTATGTTTAACAATTACCCATAGTGCAAGCTTCGATTGGTTCGGGGCTGGATGACTGAAATATATATCTATTTATAAGAGGGATAAGGGGGATAGGAGAAAGGAAAAGGTAAAAGTGAAAGGAAATAGAAGAGAAGAGAAGAGAAGAGAAGAGAAGAGAAGAGAAGAGAAGAGAAGAGAAGAGAAGAGAAGAGAGTAAGAGAAGGGGAAAGGGGGAGAAGGGGAGAGTTGAAGCAATCGGTGAGCAAAGAGAGATCACCTTGTCCGGTGGGCAGCCGCGGAGCGCCCTGGCGGCGGCCACCATGGCGTCCTCCCACTCGACCGGCGTGAGGTTCCCGCGGCTGTCCGCCATCAGGGGCGTCACCAGCCGCTGCCGCTTCAGCCCGTCGCACGCGAACCGCGACTTGTCCGACAACCACTCCTCGTTGATCTCCTGCGCGTGACGTACATTTAGACGTGTTCAATTTGTCGATCACTAAATAACACCGGCTCGAGAGAAACTGCAGTTTTTTTGATGACGAAAGTAAAATTATGATTTATTATAAATCCCCTATTATAAGTTCCCCTGCTGGGCAAAGGAATCTTCTACTCAGAGCATTAGGGCATAATCCACCACGCAAACCCACTGCGGATTGGCGGGATTCACGTGTTTTCGAAATATTTTCGTTATTACTTGGAAACTATGCAGGTTTCCTCACGATGTCTTCCTTCACCGTCTAGTCACGTGCTCGGCGATGAAAAAAACAGTGTGAGGAAACCTGCATATGAAGAAAACATAAATCAGCGCTTAGCAGTAATACTTAGATTAAATGTCGGCACCGGGATATCAACTCAGCGTGCTCGAGTATATTGCAAAGCGAGCGCCTGGACACAGCTATCACAGCTATATAGAAATATGTATACAATGTACTCATGGTTTGTATTACTGAATTATTACTGTACTATTTACTAAACATCTTAAACCTTTGATCAGTACCGTTCTACAGATGTACAGTCAGATCAGTATGTACAGATGATTGCCAAAAGACTTTGTCATATAAATGAAAAGCCTACCCTTTTGTTAACCTTTTTGTTTGTATTCTGCAGACAGACTCACCTCATTAGTTCTTGGAAGAATACGCAGTACTTCGTTTGTTCTCGTCGCGACTACAATGTTGCTACCCAAAGGGTCTAATACGTCGACCGAATCGATCTGAAAATAGACAAAAGTTTAAAAGATGCGTCCATAGAAAATTTCAGTCGTAGGCAGATTTAATATAACTTACCCTCCTAGTTTCCCAGGGTCGTGCGGCGAAACTATAAGGCTTCGATGTGAGAGCCCCTACGGGGCACAAGTCAATGATATTACCCGACAACTCCGAGAGGAACATTTTCTCGACGTAAGTTCCGACCTAAAAGAATAAATGATACAATTTAAAAAACCCGGCCATTTGCGAGTCGGACTTGCGCACGAAGTGTGCCTTACCATTATCTATAAAAACGAATATTATATTATAATAACAGAAATACATTAACTGTGAAAATTTTAACTGCCGCACTATCACGGTTCATGAGACAAGTATTTATATGCTACACCGATAACAATTCCAGATCTGGATGTTTATATGGGATATAGGTATCTAAAAGTGGTCTTTACAACACAGGATAATTTTGTCCTGCAATAAGGACAATTTTTTTTTAAATATAAAAGGATATCTACCAGACGGACCACGGCAAGGCTTATATCTGTCGTGATTGGACTAAATAGGTGTTTTGAAACACGTAAAAAATTATCCATGTGTTGTAGTCAAAACATGTGTGAGAGGATTTCTTTGAAAGCATAGCAATAATGTTACCAGTTACCTGCATATCTGTACCTCTGCCAGTTGTACCGAGGTCATCAACTCCCGCCACTTCAGATGCAAATCGAATACAGCGCGTGCAATGGATACAGCGAGTCATAATTGTTTTGATCAAGGGTCCAACATCTTTGTCTTCGACGGCCCTGACATTTGAAATTAACTTTGTTAAATATAATGAAAAACAATAAGCATATTATACATGCCAGAAGCATCAATAGAGGGATGATAATTGACAAAACAACTTCAAATAAAAATAATAATATAAAACAAATAGGTAATACTGATAACTTTACAATCAAAACTATTTTTTTTTTTATAAATCTAGTTGTAGCAGTCATTACCAGTGTTTGAGTGGAGGAGTGGAGATCAATGTCCCTCAAAGAAATTTGTAACACTTTCTATTCATCATATTTCATAAGCAGGCTGGTTTTTAAACAAATGAAAGCCTATTTTCACGATATATTATGTAAAAGATATACCTACTGATGGTCCAGTTGATACTAATTTACTTTACATACCTATATTTGATTTAGAATATTTTTATATTTATAATATTTATTTTGATAATAACAAGATTTAAAAACTTGACTTACAAAACATTGAATGTTTTTAAGAGTCAGTTTTCACCATACAAGGTGTGAATGTCAAGTCATATGGTGCTTAATACTAAAGAAATTAAACTTCTTATATGATCTGTTTTATCGGGTCAATATGACTAATTTGAGTAGGTTAAATTGTAAAAAATAATTATTAACAAACAACTATATACTATTATACTCTGAAATATACCCAGTTTAAAGTTGTATCAGTTGATAACTAGTATGAAAGTATGAGTGTTAGAAGAAATAATTCTTTCCTATCTTCTTATTAGTTAGTATGAATTAAGTCTTATTTTTTTAAAGTAACACAATGGGTAAGAGCTTAAATAAAGAAATGAGTAATTTCATCATGTGAATTAAATTTCGTATAAATTTCCTACCTTTTTCCTGAGAAATGGATATCGGTGAAGCGGCTCTTATCAGAGCCAAATGCCATTGATTGATCTTGCAAATCACACTCTCCACCCTGGTCACAAATTGGGCAATCCAGTGGGTGGTTTACGAGTAGAAATTCCATTACACCCTCCCGAGCTTTTCTTGTGAGATCAGAGTTAGTTTTAACTCTCATACCCTTCATAACGGGCATTGCACAAGCGGCAACTGGCTTCGGCGATTTTTCCACCTCAACTAGGCACATCCTGCAGTTGCCAGCAACTGCTAACCGCTCATGGTAACAAAATCTTGGAATTTCAACGCCAACCTGCGCTGCTGCCTGGCCACAAAAGCATACTTACAATCTCATTCACTTTAAGACGATTATTAGCAATATAAAATAATATTATAACAACTTAAATTTTTTGTGAAAATTGTTATAATAGTGATTACAAAATATATGTAAAGTGTAAAATAACAAATAAATAATAAATAAACCTTTAATTTTATTATTTATCATTTTTCACTAATCTATTTCATGGTTGGCTTCTAATCAATTGGTTACAACACTCCCAATATCTACCTCTTACATTTACAAACATTTTTATCAACCTAACAAGAGTATCATCACTTTGATTGCAATTTGTACATACCAAAAATACATACAGTCATAAACCAAATAATATAATAAAATTAAAGGAGTTAAATATTTTATAACAAATTTTGGTTTAAAATATGTGTTGTGTATGAAATAACATTGTGCTTTTAATATTATATAAGACGCAACTTAAAAACCATACCTGCAGTACTGTAGTGCCAGGAAGAACATATACTGGCTTGTCATCAATAAATACTTCTACTTTATCAGGTTGTGGTGCAGCATCGGCATAACGACGGACTGCCAAAGGGGCAGCACGAGATGGAGAACTAAGCGCAAGTGCCCTTGTTAGCGGCTGGCGCAACATCCTCTGCAGCAACCACCAATCAATGACAAAGAATACTACAATTACTAGAATTCTTAATACCGGTGTACTATTCAGAAGCTAATTATTTTGAATGCTTTCTTTATTTTTATGGAATTTTTAACAACATTAATCTATTCTAAAGCAGTGCTTTACAAATAAATTGTCTGTTATTGTTACATAAGTATAATGCTTAACCTAAATAAAGACTGTAAATTTTATATTAGCACCTAATTAAAATAACGCAGCACTAAATGTCTAGCCAAAACTGCTATGAACTTAATATTTTGACAATTTACGCAATAAAATATAATTAAAACATTACCTATTATTGCGTTACCGATTCCAAAATTCAGTGACAGCTGTGGCAAATCACAAATGTCATAACCAGAATCACAGACTACTAAGATGATATGCATGACCAGAATCCAGATAGACAGAAAAGACTACCGTACTGTTTTATGAAAAGTAAGACATCTACATTAAATATAATATTAATATTTAGGACACATTTTTACACAACATTTTGCAGTCGCAAACTAAGCAAAGCTTGTAATATGGGTACTGGAAAACTGATAAACATACTTTTCTTTTGTAAATAAATACATATTATACATATATAAACACCCAGACAGATAGATACAATTAAAAATTATATTATTAAATTAGCCATACTGGGTCTGGTCGAACGTTTAGTAACACTTCTTTAAAAAAGAGATCGACTCCTGGCTGCAGTATTTTTTAGTTTCTCCAGAAAAAATATAGTTCATAACGAGTTTTATATACTTAATTCAGACACTTTCGCATCAGCTTAAGCTGCCTCAGCAGACACTTCCCGAGGAGCAACTCCCTTCTCGTCCAGATAAGGCGCTCAGGAACGTTCATACATAGCGTACCTTCCTATTTGCCCTCTTTTTCACGATCAACGAACTCCGTCGAGTTCACAGACCAAAGGTCATCGGAGTCAAGAGATCCAGTACTAGTAAGCAGCAAGGCGTCAGTTGCGGACCTGGTCTTTGGCAACGCCGCTCACCACGTTTCTGCTGCAGAGAATGGCCCGCCGGAGTTATGGAGCGGCCAAATTACAATACTGACACTCCTCTTCTGCAACTCCAATTCGGTAGCAGAAGGTAGGCCCTCCAAGCACGCATCCAGAGTGGGCTCAATGACCCACTCGGAGTGACACTCTTGCGTCGGCTTTATATCACAGGCCGGCCCTGTGTGGGTTCCTCTTTGCCTCGATAACCAAGTCACAGCTACTAAGCCCCTCCGCCTACACAAGACGGGAGCCCGGTCGGAGTAGCGGCAAGCTCCGGCCTTGAGTCCCTGCACGGACAGAGACCCTGGATTCCACTTTCGTGAGAAAACTCTTTGCCGGGATCATGCGATCAATGGTCTTCTATGGTGCTAGCGTGGTCTCAACAACTAAAGAGCGTCCGATATAATATAAATACGAAATAATATTTTTGAAATTATACTTCCTTTGGCGCGTTAGGGAAAATTATGAGAGTGATAACATCGGCACGAAAAACCGACACCCTTAAATTAGCTAGACATCTACATATGTTTGTGTGAGAACTGACAACTGTATTCACGATATTTATTTTGTGATATTTAAATAAAGTTTATTTAACTAGATAACGCATTATAATAAAACATTCAATGTATTAAATACCTTTTTTTCTATTGTTAGTGTCGTTTTTTCTATAAACGTAGAATAAGGTGAAAGATAAAATTATTGTAAAGATTTTTATCTCGTTACGCCAACAAAGTATAACATCTAACGCGTGTACCTAAGTACACACACACACACACCCTTTTTTTGTGGAAGGGAATGGGTAGTAAGTCCGAACGACCTCTGCCACCTAAAAGATCTATTATAATGTTCCCTCCAGAAACATTGACCTTTACTGTAGATCATCAATAGCCTGTGGTGTAAGGACGTTTTACTTACATAAAATTCACGTGGACATCCACCCAGATCCGAAACAATTATTTGTTTTGCAATATGTCCTCTTGTTACGTACCTGTAATTTGTAAGTAATAAAACTAATTAATAAAGCAATTTTTGAAGACTTCGTACAGTTGCCAAGGTATTGGCTTCGGCGTAAGGGGTTGTGGGTTCGATTCCCATACGGGACAACTATTTGTGTGACCCACAGATAGTTGTTTCATATCTGTGTTTGTCCGCGTGAACGTGAAATTTATGTTTGTAAAACGTCCTTACAACACTGGATAAAGTTATCCTACAGTAAGGGCGACGTTTTTAAATTAATTTAAAAATACGGAATAATTTAGAAATACGGCAATCTAGAATATCAAATACGGCAGCTCTGTAAAATTTCATGGCAACACTGCATTTCATTCATTTATTCATTTTCCTTTTTTGTCTCTCATTTCAACTGACCAGGTGTTCGTGCGGTTAATATCTTGAATATATTCTTAGACGGAATAAAAATGGCATTCGGAGACGTGAAAACTAATCAAGGCCTCAGTGAATTAAACTCTTTCTTGGCTGATAAGAGTTATATATCAGGGTAAACATATATCAATATATCTTTAACGATAATCCACGTCAACTTTATACTCTAACCTCTATATTTGCGTGCAACACTGTTTGCAGTTTTATTTTAAAGCACTGAGTCATAAATAATAGATACCAAGTAAAATGCAATTTTTCTTTTAGATATACACCTACTCAAGCCGATTTTAAAGTATTCGCAGAAGTCGGTAAGGCACCGGCCGCTAGTTTGCCGCACGCTCTGCGTTGGTACAATCACATCGCATCGTACTCTGCTGCTGAACAAAAAGCTTTACCTGAAGGAATAAGCCCACTTAGCGCAGGAGCAAAGCCCACAACTGCCCCAACATCCAGTAAAAAGGAGCAAGAAGATGATGATGATGATGTCGATCTTTTCGGATCCGGTGATGAGGAAGAGGTTTGTTTTACTCCAACTTTGGCCTTTAAAAATAATAGTATCCTTTACTCACAAGTTTTTAAAAGGCAAGTTATTCTCAATACTACTTTTACTTCTTATTCTAGGATGCTGAAGCAGCCAGAATTCGTGAAGAACGTTTGAAGGCTTATGCTGATAAGAAGGCGAAAAAACCAGCCCTTATTGCTAAATCTTCCATTATTCTTGATGTAAAACCATGGGATGATGAGACAGATATGAATGAAATGGAAAAACAAGTTCGCACTATTGAAATGGATGGTCTTCTATGGGGTGCTTCGAAACTTGTACCAGTGGGCTATGGTATCAACAAACTGCAAATTATGTGTGTTATTGAAGATGACAAAGTGTCAGTTGATCTCTTGACTGAGAAAATCCAGGAGTTTGAAGACTTTGTCCAATCTGTGGACATTGCAGCATTCAACAAGATTTAAATGCCATTGTAAAATTAAATTATACCCTTCAATAAAATCACATATTTGTAGAAATTTATTTTATTTTACACATATAAAAAGCTATTTACATTAAAAACCATTAGGAGTAAAATCTGAGCTTATTTGTTATTATTGAGAACCCATGATTAAATATGCAGTACCTTAAGGATAATGTCTGTCAAAACTTTGTATCCATCACATTAATAAATATTCAGTGCTACTTCCATCCTAGGGGAGTTTGCTACTACATTTACACATACTTTCATACAACACACATTACTCAATGACTAGCAAAGGTTTTGACAGAGTAAGTACTACTCATTCAACCTGAACATTTTTCGATAAACTGTCACCAATATTAGCTTGTAAGAACATGTTGGGAATGTCACTTCCGAAGTATATTTTATTGTTCAAACTAAGAGCCTCATACTTTTTCAATTCCAAATACTCCTTTGTGAGTAGCAATTTATTTGCCTCTGCTTGCTTTTGCAAGTGATAATAGTCTGCTTCAGCTTTGGTTTGTTGTTTCGCTTTGTGGATGCTGTCCTCTATCAACTCAATTTTCTGTAAAGATTCCTTCTCCATAATTTTTTGCTCATACTGAATCTTTGCTACTTGAGCCTCTTTTTCAGCTTCAATAACTGCTTTCCGACGAGCTGTTTCAGCTTCTTTTTCAACCACCTTATAACAAAAAGAAGTCCATAAACACATAATATAATCATTACATTCACTTGTGATCTTTCATTTTGAATTAAACAATTAAAATCAAATAAATCTCGCAAAAAGAGTGAATCACTTAACAAATAGGAAACATTTATGTATGTCCAGTCTTTAGATCACAAAACCAGTGCTAAAATTCTGGCATAAAGTGTAGTTTGCTTATTAGGTATAGTTGATGGTCTAAAATGAAATCTGACACTTTAATGTGTATGTAACATTTAAATACCTTTTGGTGCTGTGCCGCTATAAGAAGTTTAGATTTTTCAGACTCCATCAATTCATAATTTTTCCTTATAGCTTCTGGTATCTTTGGTTTAGTGACACGCACTGCCTGTACCCTCAATCCTGGTGCCATTTCATTAAGATCTTTTTGTAGTGCCTAAAATGTTACATTATAGAAATTTAGGTTGTACAATCATAAATTTATTAAGTTATATTATATATATTTATTAACACAATTATTTAACACATTCTATTGTTCAATAACATGACCAAGGCAAAATACGATAATATGCTTACACAATGAATCATGCCAACTCACCGTTCTCAAATTTTCGTCTATCTGATCAAACAAATCTATGTATACTTCATGTAGAGAATGAGCACTGCAGAACTGATTTAACTCATGGTGCACTTTGTTAAATATCAGAGTTTTATCATAGTCTGCAGTAAAGTTACGAACCACATCCAATACTGTAACCAGATAAACAATTTAACATTATACATAGTATAAAGTAATATTACAAAATTATCTAATGTTTGAAAGTTGATAAATGTTATATAAGCTGATCAATTTCATGTTCATTAGAAAATTTTTATATGGCAAAAATAATAGTCAATAGGCCCAAAAACTAATTAAAAATAACTTCAACTTACCGCTATTTGGTTCCAATTTATTAACTACTTCTATCCTCTCAAAATAAATCATTACACCCCCACTAGTTCCACAGGGTACATTTTTTACTTCATCAGTTTGAAGAGTGGTCTAAAAGCATTGAATTTTAAAATTAATTGATTTATCAGCACCATGTTATCACTTTTCTTAAGTTGAAGAATTGAAAAAACCTGGATGGCTTTATATGACGTCAGCAGGGGTACCATCATATGAAAACCAGGTTGACTAGTAGCTGGTAGTAATGCACCTCCCTGAAACAATATTTGCTTTCTTATCACTTACAGGACAGAGGCACAAGAATAAACGGAGCAGTCACTGGACGGCTTTTGTGCAAGCCCTTTATTAAAAAAAATGTTACACATATTGCTGAATATCTGTTACAGTAAGATTGATAAACGAGAGAAGTGAAAAAATACTAATTAGAACATTATTCACACTTAACTGATCAAGTTCTTAATACTACCAAATGGAAATTTATATCAATAAAATAAATATTTAATCACTCACCCTATAATAAACACCAACATGACCTTCTTCTACCTTATGCAATGAAAAATGCACCGTAACCCCTACGGCTAATATTACTAGGGCTAATAGCGACGACTGATCCGCCATAGCCGGACTACAAAAAAATATTTTTAAGAAACTCCGAGTTTAACTTGATTTAAAACTTATTAACTAATTTACAAAGAATAATGTGTCGCAGGAAAATTTACCTCCACAAATCCAAAGTAACGCTGAGTGTGAGCGGTATGATGGCAACTAATTATACAACTGGGTGAAAATAAATTGAACGAATATATCGTTACCTTATAACTTTTGTGTTTAAAGAAAATGTGTAGAATAAAGCTATGTCTGAAATCTGGATTCGATTGACGTCGATATTTATGTATTCATACAAAGTGTATTTTGACCAATTCAACTAACACCAATTTATTGACTGTGACTGCTGCTGATAAAATTTTGACGGCCTACTGCTTGACAATTTAAGACTAGTGTTGCCAAATAGGTGGATAATTCATAATCATAATGTGTTTTTTTTTGTAGTGAAGTTAACTGTTTAACTTGGAAGAGATCCACCGACGACTCATGGACTCAGAAGTGAAATTTAACTGATGCAGGACGATGACATACCGTCTGCTTCACTGCATCTCCGCTTCCCGCGACGCCTGTTGTGTGACTAAAACTTGACAATTCGAATAAAAACAGCTGAGCTGGGTGTAGGGCCACGTAGCAATCTTCACTGGTGTTGCACGAATGGGCGTCTGCCCATTCGACGGGTCTCCGTCTCTCACAGAAGACCAGCATGTGCTAAAAGTAAAAATTTTATATTTCTGCGTTTCATGTGGCGAGTGAGATAAATGGGTCCCACTTTATTGAAAGGTTGCAATGCATCTGCAATCCTCCGAGTGTTGCAAATGTCTTGGGCAGCGACTACCTCTTAACATCAAGTGAATCGCGTGCTCCCTTGCCATTTTCTTACATAAAAACGAGAATGCGTACTTTTGTATGCACCTAAGAAGTTACTCTCTTCAATATTTTTTTTAATAAAGAAGTATCTCTTCAAAAAAAGATCACTGACTCACTATACACAAATAGATAATGGAACTTATTCAGAGGAAGTAGTTAAGTAGCAATTTGTCATTTAATCACCAGACAGATATATATATATATTCTTTAAACATCAATATTTACAGAGTTATAAAATTTTTCAAAACAAAGAATTTTAGAACACCCTTACCTATAAAAGAATTTAAAAGAGACAGAACATACTGTTAGAAGGAGAGGCTTGTAATACGACGCTGTGGCGCGAGTTGTATAGGATGTTACAAATTTTGTTTCTTTTTTACTTCATTAGCTTGTTTGAAAAATATTTGTTTTTAATTATGGATTTTGTTTAACGTTAATATTTTTTTATGATTATTGGCAAGTAGCGTTAGACGTGTGTTCATTTATTGTCGCGATGGTAACGACACGCTGTATATCAGCTCCAGCGATTTTAGCTAGGTTTCATTTTTAGAAAATGTCATTTTATCCCTGTTTTCAGGGAATGAAAAATATCATTCGAATATGACGGTAAATATCGCCGCAAAAAAATTTTTATAATAGCTCGGTCGGTAATCGAGCGGCCCCAAAACAGCAGGCCGTGGTTCGTGTCACGATCATTTACACACTTATTTTTTTTCGATTCCAGATCATTGCTTTCTTTATTTTTTAATTTTGTCGATCCAGATGATTTTCTTATTTTTTCCCTTTATTTTAAAGTTCTTGCTTTTGTGAAAAACACCAGTTCATATTTTCTTATTATTACGTCGGTAAGATCGAAAAATATTATGCATATTTCATTACTCAGTAATTTGTCAGTATAGTTATATACTTTATAGATAGTTCATTACTCAGTAAATCTACATGTAATTTCCAAAATAATGATTTACCAAAAGCTCGGTCCTCCAGTACTATTATGTTTTTATAGTAAAATGTTTTTATTTTATGTTTTAGCAATTTCTGTTCTATCGGCGCTATCTTAGTAAGCCAGAGCCGTCACTTTTCGCCCTCTTTTTTCTTATTGCTTTAATGACGCTATTCTTTTTATACCATTCCACATGTGTGAAAACGTGAGAATGGGTGCTGTCACTGTGTTTGAAACACTTGACCGGTGATTTTGTAAGCTTTTAACATATTACTATAGATAATTCTATAGTATAAAACAATGTGGTATCTTGTATTAGCTGATATTTGCACTTTCAGTCCCGACACTATTAAAGCTTCATCGAACGCAGAACCGATGGGCTAGCCGGAACCCTCCACAGTAGGTAGCCGTGCATGTGCTCATGCGTACGTTTAATTATGGAATGTCATCTACGGGCTATCGAAATTCGGTGCGGACCGTGACCCTGATGGCTGTTGACTGTGTTTGGTTAGTCGGTGGCTGGGGTCGGTGAGAACCGCCCTGGAACCTTGTGGACGCGTTGTGTTGGTCTCGCCGTGCGAGGAGGCGAGGAAGAACTATGGTTTTTGTTGTCGCACTGACTGTTTGTGTAGTGTTATCCGGCGGGACCCCCGACGTGGGTCTTTCCAGGACCGGGTGGATAAGGACGTTTAGCGGGCGACGCTTGTTGACGTTCGCGTCTGTGTCGGGTTGGTAATTTGCTGCGCTTACCATTAGAGGGTTGCAATGATGCTCGGCTCTATCGAAGAACACTTTGGTCAGGTCTTTAAAATGTTCGCGAATCGTCGCGAGTCTGCAATCGCTGTGCAGGTCGACGTTGCGTTGCGTTGATACCACAGCACAGCGGTTCCGCGGCGGATGAACTTATTTTGCACTATTTGCAACTTGTTAATGCGAATAGGGTTTGTATGGGCGAAAGTAAATATATTGTAATCGTTACTCTGGTAGACGATCAAGTTGATAGTAAATTAAACACAGAAATATAAAATAAATAAAAAAAAAGATATACTTGCAAATATACGATTTTATTAAATCTACGGCAACGTAATATGTTTGTATTTAATTAGTGTTAGGGACCGTAGAATCTTTCTCCATTGTTTTCAAATATTTTTTGTCTTCCGTATGTAATCCCAGCAAAAGGCTAGACATAGAGACTTTCAACGCTCTATATTCTTCCAGGGCCTTTACACATAATTCTCCTTCGGGTGAATTACCCGGTTCAATTAAAAGCATTTCTAAAGATCTCTTCAAAAGTTTTTCTGCATATTGTAATTCATTCTGTAAATTAAGAATTATATGAAAAATATACGTTGTGGTTGTTTCTTTCTATATATACAACAAAAATCTTAATTGTTATTCACATGTAGTCGTATAGCTCAGCTTCAACTCCAAAACTACTGAACCGATTTAAATGAAATTTGCTACACAGATAGTCTAAAGCCTGAGAAAGGACATAGGCTATTTTTTAATTGGAAAAACGTGTCAATTATCTTACTACTGCTTACCAAATATGCAGATCCGCTAATTTCGCGCCCGTCAAATAACTTTTTGGCCAATTGCACCATTGTAGCGTGAAGCTCGTATAGAGTAATAGCTAAAAAAGAAAGTAGAAACCAGGATCTCTGCTTATTATTAACAAATACGTAATTTTAAAAATAATATTCTAAATTGACAGACCACTTTTGATATTCCCCGACTTTTCCGGTTTGGATGTTAAATTATTAGACTATCAAACATAGATAAATTCCAACATACAACTTATGGAATAGGTATTCATATTTTAGTTTTAATAAATGCCCGTAGCGCAGTCGTCAGCGAAAACGAAACCAAATCAACTAGTTTCAGGCCTAAGCCGAAACCAAAATTTAAAAATACTTTTCTTAGCGTTATTTCAATTAAACTACTAATTTTATTCAAGAGTTTAATTTTATTTTAAACTAACTTGTACCCTGATTGTTACATCTTTGATTGGAATGAACATAAAACTGATTAAAACTTTAAGATTTAAAATTACGGTAGTTTGTTATCTACAGGCTATCAGTAATTAAAAAGGGTGTTCGTCGAAATAAACGAAATATTTATATAATCTTTACACGAAGTTTATTCTGGTATAAACGTATAAGGGTTAATTACTATTAAAAATTGGTTAATTTAAATAGCGATTAATATTTGTATTAATTAGCTAGCAACAGTGCCGGATTAAGCAAGCGCGGGGCCCGTAGCAAATTCTTTCAAAGTGCCCTTGATCTCCTATGGGTGGGTTCTCAGGTATAAAGGGGTACAGAATTTTTTTTGCAATACATATTTCAAGTAAATTCAATATACCACGTCTTAATAAGTTTCACTCATAAATTACGCTTAGATGCAGACGATGATTACGCAGAGATGGGTTTAAATAAACATGGCACCCTTTCGTGCGGGGCCCGTATCAATTGCTAAACTTAATACGTGGTTAATCCGGCACTGGCTAGCAAGAAGGCTGCCGAAGTAAGTATACCGCGATTATTTGGTACGAATTGCTGTTAGAAGTCTAGATTTTTTTACTGCCTGCTTCTTTTGTTCTCTTATTACCTTTAATCCTGCAAATTCCCGGACTTATTTTCTCAAGCACGGGCAACAATTCCTTGCACAACTCTATCTTCCGTCTCATAATTTTTTTCGTAGGCCGAGGCTCTCGATTTATGGCATCTCTCAACACTCCCGCCAAGCGTTGTTTGGCGTCTAGTATTAGATAATGATTCGGAGCTAGCACTAGAGAAACGTTTCTAATGTACTCTTCCAGTGACTTTTCATCTTTCTTATCTGTGAAAAGTATACATAAAATTAATAAAGCGAGTACCTACTAAAAAGTTAACCTCCGTTTAAAAAACTTTTTTGAATATAAGCTGGATGTTTTATAAAAAAAAAAACTCCTTTTAAACATTTGTAAAACACCTTACAAACAGCGTCGACAGCGGCCGATAAATATATCGTAAATGTACGTAAACGTTTCGTGAATAGTTTATTGCCCTTATTTTTTATATAACTCTTTGACAGATCTTATTTTTGGTAACCAATTAAGCATATCTATGAATCTAATTTGAAGACATTATGGTCTAGTAGAATCAAATATATTGGCAAAGATTGCCTCTAGGTTTTTCTCAAAGTGAAATTCTTTATTCCAAACAGGCTTATTTTAAGCTCTTATCGAAAGTCAAAATACTTCCACCGGTTCACTAAACTAGACCTGTTCAGAGAAGAACCGGCAAGAAACTGAGGTCTTGCTATATTATTTTCTTAATTACATAATTTTACTTAATTATTTAAGTATAAAATTAGCAGCAGCCAGGGCACAAGCACAGAGCGAGAGTCATTTTCACAATACTTGTCTCCAATGTATTCTGTAGATATTTTAATAGGTCCTTTCCATTAAGGTAGCTTTAAAAAATGTTTGAAATTCTGTACACTAATATGTTTGTAGGTGCAATCTATTATTTCGTAATGCGTTGCAAACTACGAAATTCGCACTTTGACGTCATTTCTTGGACTTCATTTGCGAATTATTTTATACTATTAGTTTTGTGTACACCTATACCTATATATGAATAGAGTAAAAACTTACTTATGATGGCCAATTTATCCAAGCAACATTGTACCTTATGCCCGATGTCAGAATATTGATATTTAGAATCGCAGCTATGGCATGTCCATGCGTCGTCCTTGGCGCGGGTTACGTATCCCGTCTTACATGCGGAGCATAGAGCGGAACTCATATGGGTACCCATTTCCGTCGCATCTTGACATCTATTGCATGTGCATATAAAATACTTTCCAATTAGCAAATGTTGCTGCCGTTCGGCCGTCCCCTGAAAAATGGGTTTGAATGTAATAAAGCAGAATTAAATATAAATAGCTCATCGTCTTGAAGTACATATGTAATTCAGTTTAATCAGGCAAATGAGGTCTGGTGAGATATTCCCGATGAAATTCGCCACCATCCATTGGTGTGAAATGACGATGAAATATTGAAAAAAATATTGGATAGGAAATATTTTTGAGCCGTAAGCCCACGAAACTGTCTGGAAGAAGTTGTCAAAGCAGCAAACTACACTTACAAAAAAAATATTTGGCAAACATTTTATCTGCCGATTCGCAATACAGTCTGTACAGAGAATAACTTTGCCGACCATGAGTCAACAATCAACATGTAAGTATTTATGCTTTTAATTTTCTTTACTTCATTTGAAACCGTATATGAGAATCTTCCACCTGATGATGTTTCTTCTTTAATAGTTTATTTATTCAAGCCGTGTTTAATTATTTAAGGCGTGTTTTTATATAAGAGCCGTGCTGGCTCAGTGTTCGGGCGCTCGCCTTTAATTCAATATACTCGACCAATCTGAGTTCGATCCCCGGTGCCAATGAAATTGTTAATTTTAAGTGCTGAATTATCACGTGCTCAGCGGTGAAGGAAAACATCGTGAGGAAACCTGCATATTTTCGAAATAATAATCAAAAAATTTATTTCGAAGATGTATATATATGTATATGAAGTCCGCCAATCCGCAGTGCGGCCGTGTGGTGGACTATGCCCTGGTAGCCTCTGTACAGAGGACGCCTTTGCCGAGCACTAGGACATGTATAGGCTGATACTTTACTTTTTTACTTTTACGGTATTTAAAAATGTCGTATGGTAACTGTTTGGTTTCTGTGCTGCGATGGCATAGCATGGTAATAGCAATTAAGACGCACAGGTCTACTATTTTTTCTTAAGTAACATAAACAATCATTCACGTCTTCTGACTCAACGCTTTGTCGCATAATCTAATCACTAACTACGTTTTGAAGAGTTGATTAGACCTGACAGATGTTACTATTAGCCCAAAACGTGAGACAGATTATTGCGCATTAAAAATTAGCAAATCTATAGACTTTATAATTGCAAGTACGACGTCCCAGTCCTTACGCTAATTATAAACATTTTACGTCTATCGATACCTATAGAACAGAATAGTAGAATAGAATTTCTTTCCTTCATAATAATCACGCAGTCTAACGTTATATATAGGTGTGTATTCATACCAACCTTCAGAGGATCAGTATATCGGTTAAATATGGGCTCTCCTTTTTTAATATCAGTGCTAGCGTGACAAACTAAGACATTATTATCATCTATTGCCATATGCGTGTTACCAACACAATCGTGTGCCATCAGAGCTGCCTTCAAGTAAACTCCTCTAAGTAACTCAGAACAGCCAATTGCAGGAACTACGGGCCCTCTAACTTCGAAGCTGTTCACATCAATCGCAGCGCAAATTTTCTGAACTATATTTGTGTCCTCCGCGCCTTCTAGGAGACCTAGAGATGTAACGAACTGTAATAAAACATTCGTAAATAAATGTCTTGTAACTACCTTAAGATATTAAAATAATGTTTATGCGTGCAAAAGGTAGGTTCAGTACATAATTTAAATTTTATCAGAAATACAATCTCACAATTCCAATTCCCTACACTATCAAACTCAGAAAATGTTTAAATATGTATGTTATGTTAAGCTGTAAAATAAACAAATCGAAAGCAAATTTGCAAAAGTTGGCCAACCGCGCAAACACCATTTTTGAAATGCATTCATTGATGAATTGAAATGATAAAATCAAAATAATGATGCATGTTTTTGATAAGGAAAAAAATTAATGATTCATAATAATTATATATTAAATGTGTGAGTGAGCGAAAAGAAATTGTTTATGTTTAAAGAGTACTAAGAGTGAAGAAGAGGTATACAAACAATAATAACCTTCGCCGTATTTGCGAGGTACTTATTGAAAAAATTTCATCAAAATGGCCATCATGTTAAAAACCATACCGAGAATTTAGACCCATTTTTGACGTTTTCTATTACCGGCTGAAATACAATAAACTTCATTATTTTCGGTTGCTATATGTCATGAACCCACATAGACCCTTGTAATTAACAAGGGTCTATGTGGGTTCATGATTTTTTTTGATTTGTGATTAATTAATAGTTGAGTTTTTATTGTCCCTCTATAACTAATACTAACCTTGTCTGTATTTTCACAGTGTTCCCAAATACTTGTGTCCTTTCTTTCATTCAAATGCGTTTCGAGCTGCATAAATGCTTTCCAGGCTGTTTTGTCTCTATCTTTCATGAGAAGGGCTCTAATCACAAGTAAAGATCCCACATTCTGCACCATTATCATAGGGTTAACGCCTTTACTTAGTTTAAGAGTTCTAAAATGGTCGCACTCTGATTGTGTATGCCATTCTGAAAGATTTGAGCTCAAAGTAAGTGCAAGCCAGTTCTTTTTTAAATTTAGTTTTGAACCATTACGACAAAAACTCCGATAGTGTGTAAAACGTGCGTCTAATATATTGTGTCTACGCAAAAACCGACAATAAATAGTGCTATTTTGTCTATATGGAATAGTTTTAAGAAACAATTATTAATAAAGTAGTTTTTACAAACAAATATAATAAAATCAGCAAACATTTAGGGACGAGCAGGTGAGAACGGGGCGGATTTAGGGGAGTCCACAAACGAGGAGAACAATAGAGACTTCGTTAAAAAAAAATTCAAATTCAGACTAATAAACAACTTTTCCTTTCATATTTTTTTCACGTTTTACTTTTACCTACAGTACTTTGTGAAAACATAATTACATTAAATATTAACAGAAATAAATAGAAAATAATTTGGGACCAAGGGGACTCCACTCATTTGTTGCCCCGAGGCCTATTGACCTCTAAATCTGGGTGAGAAGCAAGAGTAGTTTTCACACATTTTGGTCCTTATTGTTGTTTCCGTGTTATATTGTACTGTTATAATTGGTGGTGTATTTGCCATTTCTGCGACAACCATAATTATTTGAAATCGCGGAGTGAATGAAGCGTGATACTGCTAAAATTACAAATATTGAAAATCAGAATATGACTGCCTACCACGATTACGATAACCACCGTTAGTAGACGCAGACTAAACGCGTCTTTGCTAGCACAATTATTTATTTTGAGCGAAATAACGTCTGCAACTACAAATGTATCACCAAAACGTTGTGGGCCACGCAGCAGCTTTGGCTGTTGCACGAATAGGCAGGCTCGTCCGGGTGAGAAGACCGGCGTAAAGTGGAAGTATACTTTCGCGTTTCGTCTGGTGAGTGATGTGGCCGCAGCTCAATTTTCAAAAGGTTGTCAACGCATCTGAAACCCTCGGGTGTAGCAGATGTCCATGGGCGGCGGTATTCAATTACCATCAGATGAACCGTCTGCTCGCTTGGTAACTTGTCACATAAAAAAAACCAGAAAATATACTCTACCGTAATGTATACGTATGCTATACCGTGCATATGTATTACTAGAACATTTTGTGACCTCTCAAGCTCAGATATCGATGCAAAGTGTGGGCTCAGACTGAAGTTTGTCGAAAACGCAATGAATCGTCAGTTTGTGATAAACAATGTAAGATTTAAGAAACCAAGTCGTACTTTTTTAAAAAAATATTTTTTATATTTCTTATTTTTCAGAGAATCATGACCTCCATGACCGTCCCATAGATCGGTGCGTTTTACTTTTACACCAGTACTTACTGGACAGTTGCTGCGGACATCCATCTCCCGGACATATAGGGGCTACCGCACAGCGATTGCAGAAAAAAAATTTGCTTAGGAGCGGCAAATAACAGTTGAAGCATATCAGCGAGGAATCACTGTTAGGTCCTAATACGAACGGCGTGTCACTAAGTATAGTCTCACCCGCTTTCAAGTCTTTAGCTGCCACCAGATACCTTTAAGTTAAATTTATTGACCCAACATCAAACTTTACCTTCACAAATGTCGGCGTAACTACAAATTATTTTAACATAATATAAATGTTTAATAATATGTCCAATACATGAATTATAATAAACTATAACTACTATAATACGATAAACAATAACAAACCTGCCGAATTTTTCCGAGCATTGAATTTCATATTTTTCGTTCATTGCAAGTGAAAATTAAATAAAACTTGTAACAACAGAACTGCATTCAGCACACGTGAACGGTAAACTAGACACAAGTATATTATTTTTAGCAGAGCTTGCCGCAGGTTAATTTTAGCACGAATGTTTCGCAATATCCATTATACTTCACCTAATTTTGGAATTTAGCTTTACAAATACTTTTAAAGGTGCAAAATATTTAGATTAAAATAACACGTAAAGCTATTTTTAAAAAAAGTCAAGGAACAGACTTCAAAAGTCCCATGGCTGGGCAAAGGCCTCTTGTACAAAGGATTTTCACCACGCAACCCCACTCCGGATTGGTGGACTTAACAAATCTACGAAATTTATTTTATTTATTATTATTTCGAAAAGGTGCTCGTTTCCTGACGATGTTTTTCTTCACCGGTGTGCACGTGATAAGTCGGCGCTTAAAATTAACAATTTCATTTGCCAGGGATCGAAATCAGAATCAGATCAGCTCGAGTAAATTGAATTGCAGGCGAGCACCCAGACAGAGCTATCAAGGCTTCATTTTTATTGTTTACTCTGCATTAACGAAGAGCTGCTCCCGTTTCTAGCATGATGGTTTTTATCTCAAACCTGTATGAACTTTTTAGGTCCTAAAAGTTATTTGTGTGTCAAAAGAACAAGTGTAAGACAAACTCCTAGAAATTCGAATTCGAAACGAAATGAAACTGCTGAATGAAAAAAAATGAGAAAAAAACATCAAAGTACTATGAAAGCTAAATTGCTGCAATCTACACCGAGGCTTAATTAAAACAAACAGATAATAAACATTGCATTTATTATATTACTATTTACACTCTTTACCTTGCATACAGGTATTCTTATGACTAGTTAAATATGTATTTACTTACATCCTCTGTACAAGTTTCGAATTTACATCATACCATTTCAAAACTATGCAAACAATTATAAAAAAAATCTTCATTTTCTTACATATGTACAGTTCGATCAACCACATTCTATGCCACTTTTAAGGGCTCCTAAATATATATGATTTTATCAATGTCAACTATCATCAACAGTCTTTTTATTAAACTGAATACTAATTTATGAGAAAATATTGTCATTATGCTAAAATTCAGATAATATTCAACATCATTTAGTTTAGTTAAAATACAGTAAAACGATTGCACATCCTTTGATTTAACTAATATTTTAATTGATTACATATATTATATCTATCACATTTTCTGTACATTATTTTATAGGATGTAATTTCCAATCTGAGCCTTTTAAATGTCATGCAGAACCCTGAAACAAAACATATGCATATTTAAGATTATATAACTTATATTTGCCTAACCTATAAGCCTTTCAAATTGTATTCAGTAAATCAAGGCGCCATACATAAATATAATAATTGGAGTTTAAAAACCAAAAAATATTTAATAGTATTGTCTTCCACATTTTGGTTCCAATGCAGTATATTCAGGAATAGTATGCAGTGGGCTACTGTGCTAATTTAAAGAAGCGAAAGCTAAAGAATTAAAGACTAACACCCGGTTTCTAAAACACTGATCATCACAGAAGGTAACTAATCAGATGCCAAATGGCTTTTTAAATGTTATTTGAATTGTCAAACTCTCTGAATTGATCAGAATGATCTTTTGAATGATTAGAATAACTTCTACGATGTTCAGTGTTTCAGACACCGGGTGTAAGATTAAAAGAGTACTAAAGCGACCTTCGAGGTTTTTTTATGTGAGAAGGTGGCAAACGGGCTGGCGGTTCACCGGATATTAAATGATAACCGCCGCCCTTTAACATTTGAACAGCTGTAGGGTTGCACATGCTTTGCCACCTTTAATAAAGTGGGCCCCGGCAACCTCTCAGCAGACGATAGGCGGAAGTATGTACATCCACTTTACGCCTTCTGTGAGGTCGTGATACCTACCTGGACAGACCTGCCCATTCGTGCAACAGCGAGCACTGTTGCGTGGCCCTGCCACAGTTAAAAAGTTAATAATTAAAGACTAGATTAAGAGAGTGTGTGGAGCCTCGAGTCTGTGGAATAAATGAATTACTTTAAATTCAAAACCGGCCAAGCGCGAGTCATACTCGCGCACGAATGTTTCCGTACCACTATCTACAAAAACGGAATCCTTCTTGTATCTTGTATTAACTGATGTTTTTGCTTTCAGTCCCGAGACTATTAAAGCTTCATCTGACGCAGAACCGGTGGGCTAGCCAGAACCCACGGGTTTGGGCCCTCCGCTGTGGGTAAGGCCACGCATGTGATCATGCGTGCGTTTAACTATGGTGTGTCATCTAAGGGCCATCGAGGTCGTGGTTCGGACCGAAACCCCGATGGCCGTCGACTGTGCAATTAGCTAATCGGTGGCTGGGGGCGGTGAGAACCGCCCCGGAACGCGGGTGTACCTTGTGTACCCGTTGTGTTGGTCTCGTCGTGCTCGGAGGCGAGGGCGAACTAGTGTGTTTGTTGATGCACTAACTGTGGGTGTAGTGTTGTCCGGCGGGACCTCCGGCGGTAGGTCCGGCGTGTCTAAGTCCCCTTCCTCGACCGGGTCGATGAGGACGTTTCGCGGGCGACGCTTGTTGACGTTCGCGTTTGTGTCGGGTTGGTAATTTGCCGCGCTTACCACCAAAGGGTTGGGATGATGTTCGGCTCTATCGAAGAACCGTTTGGTCAGGTCTTTAAAATATTCGCGAATCGTCGGGAGTCTGCAATCGCTGTGCAGGTCGAGGTCGACGTTGCGTTGATACCACTGCGCACCGGTTGCGCGGCGGATGAACTTGTTTTGTACTATTTGCAACTTGTACAAGCGAGTAGGGTGCGTGTGGGCGAAGGTCATGCATGCGTAAGACATAATAGGTCGTACGCAGGTCTTATAATAACAATTTGTGCCTTAAGGGCATTTTACTTTTAGCGTTAGTTAAATTGTGTAGCCGGCCGGAGACGAACGCGGCTCTATTGCGAACATTATTAATGTGCGTAGTAAATGTATTTGACCTTTTTCTCCCAGGGGAGCGGTTGGCCATAAAGGGATATTTGCCCCAACTTTCTACATTGACGAGGGCCATTATAAAGATGTGACGGGTAAGTACTTCGTGTGAAGTGAATCGCCACACTCTTTTCGGGATTTATTTCTATTCTCCATTTGCGGAACCAATCGCCGAGGCGGTCGGCAGCGCTTTGGAGTCGAGTGGTTAGTTGTCTAAGGTTGCGGTCTGAATAAAAGAGCGCCGTGTCATCCGCGAAAAGCGCGAGATTGACGTGGGGGTCTTTAGGTATATCGCTCGTGTAGAGCGTAAAGAGCAAAGGTGAGAGGCAGGAGCCTTGTGGTACGCCGGCCGTGAGGCGGCGACTTGTGGAGAGGGTGCTTTCAAATCGATATCGAAAAGAGCGGTTCGACAGGAAGGCCCGGATGGTGTGTACGAGCCTATCTGGCACTTTGAGTGTGTACAGCTTGTAAAGCAAGCCGTTGTGCCAGACCTTGTCGAATGCTTTTGCGACATCGAAGAAAAGAGCCCCTGTACTAATATGTTTAGGGTGATTTAGGCCTTTTAGGATATGTTCCGTGAGGCGGAATAGTTGATCGGGACAGGAATGTCTAGCTCGAAAGCCGAATTGTTCCGCCGTCAGAAGGCCGTTGGAAAACACGTGCTCATTGAGCCTGTTTAACAAACGCCGCTCGTAAAGCTTCCCCAGGCAACTGAGGAGGCTGATGGGACGATAACTAGAGGGCTGGTTGGCTGGTTTATTAGGCTTGCGAATGCCGATAACCCTGGCTTCTTTCCAGTCGTCCGGAAAGGAGCAACTTGAGAGTAAAGTATTTTAAATGGTCGCCAGTAAACAAATAAGCAGCCCAGGGAGAGCTTTAAGAATTTTGTTACTAATATTATCTGGGCCCGGGGCGGATTTGGGTTTTAAGTTTTTAATAATATCTTGAACCTCTTCGGGGGTCACTGAATTCAAAGGATCGCCTTCCGGTGGAAGCGCAGCCCTAATCTCGATTACGCGGTCCACCTCCGTTAGGTGGGCTGTATCGATGTGTTCGCGCGATGGCGTACATTGCTGCTCTAGGTTGTCCGCAAGGCATTCGGCTTTTTCGGAGTCATCTAGGGCTACTGAAGCGCTATTAGGTCTAACTAACGGTAGAGATTCGCGGGGGTCTGCTTTCAGACTGCGGGCCAACCGCCAGTAGGCGGTGTGCGATGGCTCGATGTCCTCTAGGAGAGTATCCCACGTTGTATGTCGGTGTTCCGATACACGATCTTTGACTTCTAGCTGAAGGCGTCGAAGTAGGGTTCGGTTCGATTCCGATCGGTATCGGTCGAAAGCGCGTTTGGCTGCATTTTTCTGCCTAATAGCAGTCGCAGGTCGGGTGGAAAGTTAAACCGTCGGTCGCCCGGCAGTTTAACCGTCCGTTCCGAGTCTGCGACTGTGGAAGTAATGGTTTCTCGGAGACTTGCTATCGCTCGATGTGCGTCATCGAACGTAGCTATCATCTCGGGTAGGTCGACTAAAAAACGGAATAAAATCGTGTCTGTTGTATGGGAGCCCCGCCTATACATTTTTTATTCTGTTTTTAAGTATTTATTGTTATAGGGGCAATAGAAATAAATCATCTGTGAATATTTCAACTGTCCAACTATAACTGATCATGAGATACAGCCTAGAGACAGACGGACGGATGGACTGGTGGAAAGACGTACAGACAGACAGGGACAGCAGTCTTAATAATAGGGTCCCGTTTCACCGTTTGGATACGGAAACGGAAAAATCGGATCAATCTCAGAACATAACAGAATCGTGGGGGGTGTGGAGACCTCGTCGAGCACGGAGAGCGGCGAGGAGTGGTGCGCCGCGCTGATGATGTCCTGCAGGCAGCGCGCGAACTCGTCGATGACGTCACGCGCGGGGTCCGGCGCCTCGGGCCCCTCGCGCGCCTCGCCCCCCGCCGCCAGCAGGCACTGGCACACCGCCTCTATCACCTCCGTAGTCATAAAGCTGCACGGCTGCCTAGAACAAACTCTTATGTTCAACGCGCCGTTTAGCCCCCCGTTAGGGAACATATCGTATTTGGGGCGCATCACGTGCAAACTTCAAGGGGTAGTAGTAAAGTAACAATATGTAAGCCTATACCATATCCCACTGCTGGGCAAAGGCCTCCTCTATACAGAGGGTATTAGGGCATAGTCCATCACGCGGCCCCACTGCGGATTGGCGGACTTCACATATCTTCGAAATATATCTTTTTTGTTATTATTTCGAAAATATGCAGGTTTCCTCACGGTGTTTTCCTTCACCGCGGAGCACGTGATAAGTCAGCACTTAAAGTTAAAAACTTCATTGGTGCCGGCACCGGGGATCGAACTCAGGTTGCTCGAGTATATTGAATTAAAGGCGAGCGCCCCGACACCGAGCTATCACGGCAGGGGGTAGTAAATTATTATAAATTTTAGTCAATACTTTTAACGCGCCACGGTGTGATGAAAAATAAAACTTTCGCATCGGTAACTTTAGTCTTCATAGCTAAAAACACTTTATTTCATATTCCTTATTTCTTTTAACATGGAACATATAATTATTCTAATAATATAAAATTCATGTGCCACAGGCTTGACCGATTTTGATGAAATTTTATATGTATATTCAGTAGGTATGAGAATAGGTTTATAACAATTTTTTTTTAAATTATAATTTTTTCAACCGTACAAATACAATTTATATGGCAAAACAACGTTTGCCGGGTCAGCTAGCGTTATATAAAATTTTGTGACTAAACAAGTATAATATTGCTCCCCTTTGTAAAATGCGTACATGAATGTAATTGTAACATTATGCCAAATGCATCCCCCATAATATTGTTACGTGTTGACGCTAGATGGCGTTAGTTCCTTTGTGTGTTCATAACAATATGTTCAACCTGCAAACAGCCATGGGTTTGCCACCTCATCATTAAAATAACAGTACCCTATGCCATCACAAATCATGCTAAATCAAAGTCTCTTATCTTATATGGACATAAACACCACTCACAGTGTATCTACTATTGCAAGAAGAACACATGCTTAAAGTAGAAACATTTGTACTTTTTCATTTCATGTGACTAGTGAGGTAATAAGAAACTATAAACAACTGCCAACCTTCAAAATTTTGTCAACCTTCAATGGCGTATACTTCATTGATGGTTGACAACACATTTACTGTTCCTTGGTGTTGTAAATCTCAAGTCCGGCGATGATATCCTAGCATCAGGTGAATATCTGCTTTAATATTAAAATTTAAGAAAAAAGCTTTAAAGCGGCCGTTTAGCTTGAAGTCGTGGGTTCGACTCCCGCAGCGGTGTGAAAGTTTCGTCAATATTTTCTACGAATCGTAATCGCCCGCTCGTCCGTCAGCTGCGAGTAAATGAAACCGACTTCAGCTGCATCAGCGGCGGCGGGCGATAGAGGGCGCCGGCGTGCGAGTGGGAGTGGGCAGCGGCGCCAGAGGCCGGCGGGGGAGCGCGTCTCCGCGCCCTCTCCAGCGTCTCCTCCACATTACGGCAGCCGACGCACTTGCATATCGACGTGCACGCTATTTTCGCCTGCAAAACAAACGCCTATTTAGTTTTCGACTTTTTTATGCAAACGAGCTGGCGGTACGCCTGATGTTAAGCGATAACCGCAGGCCATTGACATTTGCAACATCCTTTGGTTTACAGATGCGTGGCCACCTTTTAATAAAGTAGGCTCTTATACCAACCTCTCGGAAAATCGGTTGGTACCATCTGACGGAGTGACGCCCATCGAATGAAATAGCGCGCGCTTCCCCGGCTTCCTGTCACACACACTTTCGTTACTTGTCATGAAATCAATCGCACAGATTTCGGGAGAGCGAGAGGGAAGGTATTGCGTATCAACAGTGACAGGGCCACGCAGCATGCCTTGGCTGTTGCACGAATGGACAGGCTCGTCCGGGTAAGTACCACGACCTCACAGAAGACCGGCGTCAAGTGGTAGTATAACTACTCTCGCGTTTCGTCTGGTGAGTGATATAGCCGGAGCCCAATTTTCAAAAGGTTGTAAACGCATCTGCAACCTTCGGGTGTAGCTGATGTCCATGGGCGGCGGTATTCACATCAGGTGAACCGCCTGTTCGCTTGGAAACTTTTCACATAAAAAAAAATCTATGCCATTCCTTTACAATTAATAGAAAATTTGTTACCTCGTAACATTCACAATAGTTCTTGAGACAGCCACTGCGTTTACAGTTACAGCCTTTGTTATGCCTCCGCACAATATCTGGACCGCCAAGCTTCGCTTTACCAATTTTGGGCCTGTAATGAGTAAACGTTTTGCATTGCAATAAAAAATTGTCACACAATATATCTTCGTTTTATCGTTTAAAAAATCTTCATCGTAATAATAGCTTTAGTAATTTAAACTTTTTCCAATAAAATAAATAATATATAAATCAATCATAATAAAATTAATGAACTTTTACCTGAAAGCGTTAGGATTCCTATCAAGACACCCTCTGATTGCTTTCTGCCTGAGTTCCTCATTTTCCAGGTTATTGTGGCAATTGTTGCAGTTGCATCTATTGCAAAACTCGCCGTTTGCAAAGCACTCGCAGTACAACTTTAGACATTGTGACTTCGTACAATTGCACGCCTTTCTCGGCCTCAAGCCAAGTTCCGTTGTAACAATATCTAAGACGAAAGCAAAGTCATGTGTTTAAATAAAATGAGCTTGGCTGATTACATAAAAGTGCCAAACGACAGAGGTCTAGTTTGATCGCCAAAACTTGGGTCCCCGATATGGGATATCATACATGCACAATTTATAGGATTTATTTATTGATTTATTATGGAAGAAAGTGACAAAAAGTAAGTATTTATCTTAACGTGAAATGATTACCGTCGCCTATGATATACACCAATTTATTGAGATTTATGTGCATTGATAACTTGACAAGAGAGTTGGCTTCCAAATGGGTAACGATTGCATTGGTGCTGGCACTAAGTTAAAAGCATCAACCGAGTTAAAATCATCAAGAGCGAGGCACTGGTACGTGCCGTGACTCCATACTGAAAATTAGATATGTTTTACAAAAAGTAATTCTATTAGCATTGGATACGTTAAAATGGCTTACCACTTTCGGAGAGTGCTTGTGGCGTGTGCGGAGATTGATACGAGTTCAGAACGTCCGCGTCCACGTTTAATATGCTGTTCATACGAGAGTCGTCCTGGAAAAGACCGTATTAAAGATTACTAGGGATAACACAAACTATACATTATATTCCCACGGAGTTACAGCACAATGTACCAACCCAATTATGACGTGCAACTACAACAATAGACCAAATATAACAAGCCAGTAATTAACAAGTAAATTTTTGTTAACAAAAAACAAAACAGACTTAAAAATACCTGACTCCATGTATATTATCTATTTGATTTTAAAAAGTTTCGTAATGAGTGGGACCACTTGGCAGCTAAACCAAACCTAATCCAAAGTCGGTTCATCAATGACGAAATTCTAACATAACAAACATAAAAAATTACATCCGAATTGAAAACCTCCTCCTTTTTTGAAGTCGAAAAACTAGAAAACTCGATGGCGATACGAAAGATTGAAAGATTTTTAAAAACATACATTTTGCCGCCAAAATATTTTTACAACTTTAATATATACCCATCAAATTCGATTCAGCCGCTATGTAGTTACGAGCGAACATAAGGACGGACCATACATACTTATAAGTCAAACACATTGTCCTCTTTTGGTTTCGCCGCAGTCGGGTAAAAAGAATCACTTCAAACACGATAATTTAAATTATCGCCCAAATAGTTAGATCACTGGTTAAAGATTACTAATGATCAACTTACAAGTGCGGATTGATTATCGCTCATGCTGTCGTTTTCCTTAATGTAGTTGGAGGGGATGACAATGAGGGGGTCCTCGTCTGAACGCCCGCTCGAATCCTGCTGCTCCATACTATCGTTGTTGTCATCACAATCTGAATACTAGAGAAAGATCACATTAATAACATCCATGTAGTGTGTAAATCTTTATCATTAGATAGCAAATAATTTAAGCCTGACAAACAATAAATTCATTAAATCAATTAATATAACAATCATTTTATCATTATCAACCTCTACAAGTATTCATTAAAAAATGTTTAAAGAACAAACTTTACTGCTTAAAATTAAATACAGTGCAAAATGCCGTTTACCGTTTATTATTAGAATTAAATAAGTTGTAAAGTTAAGGCAAACAAGGCGCCGGTTCACCCGATGTTAAGTAATTACCGTCGATATAGAGATCTACAACACCTTATGTGTTTGTTGCCAACCATTAAAAAAGTTAAGTCCGGTTAAGTCTCACACGGCGATACGTGAAACTACAACACTCCAGGACGAGCCTCCCCATCCGTGCAGAAACTGCAACTCGGCCCCATCACAGTATACGAGATTTTTTTATGAGAAGGTGGCAAACAAGCAGGTCCATGCAGTTTTTTTTTTATGTGAAAATTGCCGTTCGAGCAGGCGGTTCACCTGATGTTAAGTGAATATCACCGCCCATGGACATCTGCTACGCCCGAGGGATGCAGCGCGTTGACCTTTTGAAAATTGGGCTCCGGCTACCTCACTCACCACACGAAACGCGAAAGTATTATACTTCCACTTGACGCCGGTCTTCTGTGAGGTCGTGGTACTTACCTGGACGAGCCTGCTGATTCGTGCAACAACCAAGGCTGCTGCTTGGCCCTACCACCGTAAAGTAAATACATGGTAGTAAAGTACCAGCAAGACTGGCATGAAGTGGAAGTGTTTCATTTGTGCGTTTCGTCTGGTAAGTGAGGTAACCGAGGCCCGCTTTATTAAAAGGTGGCAACGCATCTGCCACCCTTTGCTTGTCGCAAAATGTCAATGGCGGCGGTCTACCTGACGTCGAGTTCGTTTGCCACCGAACAAAAAACAAACAAACCGACGGGCGGGCTCACAGGCTCCGCGCCACTTACGAAGTCCCGCTTGAACTCCACCTCGACCTCGGTGACGGAGACGTGAGGGTCCTGCGTGTCGTGCTGCATCCCCTGCTGCGAGTGCTGCAGCGGCTGCTCCGCCGGCTGGTGCTGCATCTGCTCCTCGAGCTGGTGCAGCGCCTCGTGCCTGGGGTCGACGAGGGAGCGCAGCGCCGCCTTCGACTCCATCTCCTCGAGCTCCTGGGGCGCGGCGCTGGGCGGCTCCTCCGGCCTCGGCGTCAGCGGCGCCAGCAGACTCTGCGACGATCTGCTCGTCTGTTGAAAACAAATCGCCGCCAATAGTTAGCCTACAATAATTATACATACATATATTCATCATCACCCTCCTATCCTTATCCCAACTAGGTGGGTCCAGCACATGTGAATCATATTGTGAGTGGTTATGGCTATTTTTTTTACGACCGCCTGCTCACTGCCTGACGTCAAACCTCATTGGTCCGTCAACCCCGCTTAGGAAGCAAACACCCAGATCCGGAACAAATATCTGTGGGCCACACAAATACTTTGTCCCGTGTGGGAATCGAACCCAAGACTTATATTTATTTTTTTATATTTAGTTCTTATATTTATTTACTATACACAAATGTGCCGTGACAGCTCAGTATCCGGGCGCTCTTTTGATTGAATATACTCAACGATTTTAGTGCCCACATATCGTGCTAATCGGTGGGACATCAGGCCGCTACTTTACTTAAACACAAATTAATTAAAATATTAATTAACAATGAGAAATATGACATGCTCTGATTACTGCAAACTTCTGGTATTATTTATTATCACCGAAGCATAGTTTTCGACGGGACAGACAAATCACGGCACAGATTGCACAATATCAAGGCGGAAAAATGTGACCCGTGATTGTAATTTACCTATGAATTATGTAAAAGCATTAGAATGGACTCGATTATAGATCACGAAAATTAAAAGTAAAAAAAAAAACATGTAATATAAGTTAAAAGTATATTACGCACCACTATTGACTGCAATGATTTATTAACGAATGGAGCTATCCTCACTAACTTCTGCTGGGACTTGGAGCTCACTGTAATAAATAAATTCTTTAATGTATAACATTGATTCAAAACAATGACAGACATTCTTTAAATGACTTTTGAGAATAATTCAAATTTAAAATTTTATTATAATTTTCAAATAGAGAAAAGAACCGATTTATGAATGTCTTTTTGTGTCAATGTTTCAAATGATTTCCAAATCCAATTTCTAAAATGTGCAAAATTCTTTGGAACGTCAGTGTCGTTAAACTTGCGAAACTCACGTGTCAGTTAGATAGCATAGATGGCGCTGATGATTATGTTTAAAATTAACAAGGCAGTTGCAAGTAATACATTTCTATTTGTTCACGTTAATGTTATATGGAAAATAATAAATGCAAATACAAGTACTAAGAATACAATATAATAGATTAATATATAAAGTATAAAAAATATGTAATTATGTCCATGCAGTGTATTTAATCAACAACACGTTTTGCAACAGCAAGTGACTTTTGAATGATAAATGTTTTCCGTTTTCTATTTTAAAATAAGAAATAGATAAGAACACTTTTTTATATATACATCCACCATTAATAAGTTGCAAGAAAGTCAAATCGACATTTACGTATTATATTTTCTTATTCATTATTAATTCCATGAGGGAAATTGTGAAACTGATAATAATTAAGCTTTGTAATACAGTATTGCAAGATACATACATTGGGTTACTTCTCCAGTATTGCTTGATACAAACAGGGGCTGTTGACTGCTGCTGAGTGTTTTCTCTGACGTCATCTGGATTAAATTACCTACAATTTTTACACTACAATAATACATTATAATTAATTATTGTTTACTTTGAACAAAATTAATGGCATTATTAATCTTTTTTAACTACACATTTCCAACCAGTTTCATATTAAAATTATGGTTTAAAATAATTACAATTGTGTGTGAAGTTATGTAAATAAGAGATAATATGTATATATCTTTGATCATCAAATCCTTTAAAACAAATAGGATACTTAGGAACTACGGAATATTTCTCATCATCATTATCAGCCACAAGAAATCCACCTTAGAACGCCACAATGAATAGCACTTTGCCATTTGCATCCAGCCGTTGCCTGCGACACTTAAAAATAATATTACTGCCCATGAAATAATAAAAATATTACCCTTGGAATCTGTCAGCAAAAATGTTTTCGTTGGTATATTAATAGTTTGTTGTTGTTGAGGTTTAGGTTTCACCGGTGCTGTGTTAGAATTTGTTATAAGCCGAATATACTGTATCTGAAAAAGAAATGATAAAAAATCTAAGCCCCTCAACAGTTTTCCTTTTTTATTTATTTAATGGCAATACACATCTGCAATTTAATAGCAATTGGATGAGTAGTATACATATATTAAAAAGCAAGCATTTGAGATGAACAAAGAAACAGACATTTTTTAAATTATAAAATTTGAAGCCCATTTTGTTTCTTGATTACACAATTAGTTAATGGTTCAAAGCGCAAAATGATACAATAAGCTTTTAACAATCTTAAAAATAAAGTTACAAACACCCATCCATGCTTTGTGAATTTTTATATTAATAAAAAAATATTTTTAATTGAATACTTTACATATCATTTATACTTACTCCTTTACCAGGAACATTAATTTGATGCAATTGTGTCCTATGTCCATCAAGAACAATATTACCATCCTTAGTGATCTAGAAATACAATGAAATTTAGTATTAAAATTCTGAGTCAAATTTGTTTCTTAAATATATCTACAATCTAACCAATTTCTCCACGTTACGTCTTATTTACAGCCTTAACTTTACTTCAAAATATTTGAATATTCCAGTAAATAAAAACAACTTACTTGTGTTGTTTTAGAAGGTGCAGTTGTTTTTAATATGACATTTTGTGCAGGATTGGATGTTATAAGCACTTTCTTTGTGGTACCTGTATAATAAAGATTTTGAATTATCAATGTAAACACGGAAGAAGTGAAACTTCTGTAAGTTATTTTCATGAAATTCAATTTTTGCTTTAAATATTTTTTATTTTACTTTTAAGAATATTCATTTGATAGTCGCCTTCTTTTCAAATTTTAAATAATAGTTTGTCCAATTTTAATCATTCTTAATTTATTTTAAATAAATTTAATAAACAGATGATATGATCCTCATATATATACTAAGACTACTTGTCAACATACACACTTATACATTCTTCATATAATATTACTATTGTAATGTAACAACCCAGACTGACCGAAAACCGTAAGGCTTTTTACACTTTCATGGCACGCCTAAGAAGTGTAACTTCAAAAAAACAGGCGCGCCAAATATGTCTACAATACTACTTTACCTTGAGCTGCTTGTGACAACTTTTCAGGAGACTTGAAAGCGATTATTTGTTGTTTCTTGGCAAATTTTACACCAGTTTTTGTTGGTGTAGCTAGTAATACCTGTAATTAATACATATTTCTTATACTGTATGATATTGGATATTTATTATATAATTTGAAATGTATGACATTAAGTTGATATGCAAATAAATATTGATGTTGCTAGTATTAAGGGATAGATACCTTATTTCCTAGAGACAAAGGCATAGTTTTCTGTTGCATAGTGACAAAACGAGTTGGTGATTTTGCTCCAGCTACAGGATTAACTTTTGTAAGCACAGTCTGTGGATTGTTTCCCTCTGGCTGACCTATTACATAAATATGTTTGAGAAACTGCTTATACATATAAGTAAAAGTAACAAATTATAATACTTGGATTTAAACATACATACCCTGAAGTATTAATTTTGTTACTACTGGTTTTTGATGCGTGACAAAATTTTTACCCTGGACTATTGGTGTCTGAAAAATTTTATCATTAATAATTAATAAATTATGAATCTGTTCTAAATTCAGTACATTTTAATTAGAAATTTAGAGATATTTATTTACCTGATCTCCTGTATTGGCTTTTATATATTGCACTGAGGGCATGGAAGTTCCAGTAGTTAAGAGTTTCAGTTTCTGAGCACCACCAGCAGGCATCATTACAAGTTGTTTACCAATTTGTGCTGCAAATTTGTTTAATGAAAATTTTATTTCATTAAAATAGTTCTCTATTTTTCTAACTTTATAACATTTGTATTATGTTTATGTCAGAAAGTGGCAAACCAGCTTCACCTGCGGTTCACCCGATGTTAAGTGATAACGCTGCCCATGGACATTTGGAACACCCGTAGTGTTGCAAATGCATTACCACCTATAAATAAAGTGGGCCTCAGCTACCTCACTCACCAGACGAAACGCAGAAGTGTAACACTTCTACTTTACGCCAGTCTTCTGTGAGGTTGTGGTACTTACCCAGACGGACCTGCCCATTCATGCAGCAGCGAACACTGTAGCGTGGTCCTATCACAGTTAAATTTGTTCTCACAATTCTGCCCTGTCATACCTAAGACTTAAATTATCAGTTACATATGTATCTGGATTTATTTATTTTTTTAAGAATACTTTAAAAAAATGTCTCTAATTGATTTACATTTAGGCAACCCTATCATTTACTACACATTTTTAACATATACTACTTAAGTAAAAAAACATAATACAAAAATAATTTTTGACTTAAAAATGTACATACATTTCTCATAACAAATTTAAAAATTAATTTCAAGGCACTCACTCAAAACAGTGTTCCCTTTATTATTTGCCTGCATAACACCGGCAAGAGTAACTTTCTTCAGAAAACTATTATTCTTTCCAGTAAGCAAAGCTAAGGGTTTTGGTGCAATGGCAAATTGCTTTCCCGGTATATATGCCTTTGGACCTGGTGCCAAAGGTGGTGGTTTAGGAGCTATTGCTATTTGTCGTGGAGCAGATGTATATACCTCCGGTTCGGACTTTTTGGGAGCTGCAGGACGAGTTGGCGACAGTAGGGGCTGCAAAAGAATTATTTAACTGGATAACTTTTTTAAAAATTTACAGAAAATATAATGAAGCGTTCCAGCCCTGAGGTTTATACAGGGCCCCTTTTGCCATTTAATTACCAGACAGATAATATATATAGATATAGATTTATGGGCAACTTATTTTTTTTACGCGCGATCATTCATAACTAACACGCACACAAGTTCGTTTCAAAAGTTACGACGCATTTATGAATTACTACCGCATTGTCAACAAGTTCTGTTTTTTAGGGAATGGAATGGCAATTTTTTGAAAAAAAAAAAAAGTTTATTTTTATTTCAAAGATTATACTACCGAGTCTGAACCTCCTGTGTGAATTTGGGCACCTTTAGAAAAGCCATCCTGTATAAACTAAGGGATTAAAGTTCCTTTAGTTTCTATAAATCTCAAGAAATTTATATAAATCAATCAAATAAAAATTTATGACCATCTAGCAAGCACTGTTCATATAAATAAAAAAACCATGTAATAAATTACCTTTGCTGCCATAGTCTTTGCAAAAGTACCTTGTTGATTTTCCTGTTTTATTGTTGTTTTCAGTTGTTTGGCCTCTATTTCGATCATAACATCAGATTGAGGGGTGAGAATATTATGTTGCTGTAAAAACATTTGTTATAAAATTATAGAAATCCTTAATTTTCATGAGTAAATATTATAACCATCAAAATATACTAAATGAAATCAGTAAACAATAAAATATATAGTATATGTACATTTCCTTAAACGAATACTGTCAATTCTTTAAAACAAAATTTGAAACTAAATCATCACAAGTGAATTGCACAAAGCAGGTAAAAAATAACAAGTCCTTTAGATAGTTCTTCCAAAACATAACAAAAAGAGATACATTCCTTTTTTGGCGAACAGAATTTAATTTAATAACAAACAAATATCCCTTACCGCTGGATCATCAGTGGATGTAGATATAACAGTACTTTGATCTTCATGTTCTGCATACTCTTGCAGCGTAAACTGCTCTCCGATGAAATCTGGGAATTGTTTGTTTCATATGGTAAAAAAATATCTTAAAACTTGACTAAATTACATTTTTTTAATTCAAAAATATTAATAAAAATAATAGTTGTAACAATGGAGAAATCTAAAATAGGACGTCATAATAAACATGATTAATTTTTAGAAATTATACCAATGATTTCTTCACTGCCGGTATCCATTAACATGGGCTGCACTTCAATATGTTCAAACTCCATCGGAATTCCTGCATCTTGGCCACTATGTTCTAAAGAAATATCCACCTGATTAACTGGATCTTCTGGGTTCCCAAAATCAACCTAAATCAGAAAATATTTAAAGCAATGGCAAGATATACGTTTAATTTTTTATACATATGGACAGCAAATTCAAACTTAAAAGTTATTAAAACTCCATTCAAACATTTCAACAAGAGTCACTTTAGTGTTTGATATGTTTCTTAGCATTTATTTGGAGAATAGATAAAAATAAACTTTTAGTACTCACCCCCATAGAACTATCCAGGTTTAAAGCATCGCCCAGATTGTGATCCATGGTGAAGAAATAATATATTGAGTTTTCGTGTTATATTTAATATAAAGAAATAACCACGCTCAGCAACAAATACCGCGAAAAATCAAAAAAAAATTTGAGTTCAAAAGAGGCCGCCATTTTAGGTTGTCAAATTTAGTCTCATACAAATAGCCACGGTTGAAAACAAATTGTCAATCACAAACGCTTAGTTTTGCTTAAATTGGACCATTTACTTTATACTAAACTTAAAAAAAAATTAAAACAAATCACACGCCTCATATCAAAACATATTTGTTTTGAATAATAATTCTATCTTTTGTCGAAAAGTAAGAAAATAGAGCTAAAACTTCGATGGCGCTTCTTTCAATTTTATATAGGATGTCAAATCTGGCCAACATTAAGAAAAAAATTACAAATAATGAAAACTTGCGTTCAAACTTCAAAGTTTTAAGATATGCTACAGAACTGAAATATTTGCTTGTTCTTAATTATAAACTGTCGGAAAATAATACTAAAAATAAAAGTTTCATTTGTTTTTTTTTTTTTAATGGAAAAAGGAGGCAAACGAGCATGCGGGTCACCTGATGGTGAGTGATCACCGCCGCCCATGGACATTTGCAACATCAGTTGGGTCGCAATTGCGTTACCGGCCTTTAAGGTAGGAATAGGCTCCCTTCTTGAAGGTCCCTAAGTCGTATCGGTCTGGAAATACCGCTGGCTACAACTCGTTCTATAAAGTAGTTGTGCGTGGTAGAAAATTTTGCGAAAAACGCACAGTGGGGGACCGCCAACCATCAATGTGGTGTCGATGGTACTTGGCGGTTTGACGAGTTGTACGATGGTGAAATTCACCTGCAGGTATCAGCCCACACAATTCCTCAGAGCACTCCCCATGATATATTCGATAGAAAATGCAAAGGGATGCAACATCCCTTCGCGGGGCCAAAGAATCGAGACGATCGGACAGGATTTGGTCATCGATGATTCGAGCAGTTCTTCGTTGGATGCGGTCAAATAGAAGGAGCTGGTATTTCGGTGCCCCAGCCCAGAGGTAAGAACAGTATTCCATGTGCGGCCGAATCTGTGCTTTATAAAGCTGCAAACGATGTGCCAGTAGGAAATACTGTCTCGCTCGGCTTAGGATACCGAGTTTTTTAGAAGCCAGCTTAGCTTTTCCTTCCAAATGACCGTGATATTGAACGCTGCTCGATATATCGACTCCAAGAATTCCGATCGAATCGGTGGCAACAAGGGGAGTGCCTTCAAAGGAGGGAAATACGACGAAGGGTTACGCGGTAAACGCGCAAACCTGTGTCTTCATGGGGTTAAATTGGACTATATTTAGTCGGCCCCAATGCGAGATTTTGCTTGACAAAACCTCGACTTCGACGTATTCCTGAGAAATATTTGCCCGGCCGGTATATAATGCGTCACCCATAGTGTCATCCGCATAGCAATGAATGTTGCAAATATGCAGATCAGATCATTGACATGCAGGAAGAACAACGCAGGTGACAGAACGCAGCCTTGTGGGATACCAGAATATTAAATAATTATAACTCTTCTGCTTGTATAGGTTCCTTCCCGGTTTCCGGTACTTGTATTATTTCTAAAAATAAGATTTTTTTAGGTAGTTTTAATGTTAGCCCAGTATCTTTGGCAGGTTAGTCGGTCGGATGATAACAGATGATAACACAATGACGCCGTCTGGTCCGCTACATCTCCGCGATCCTTTTAACGGATAATGGATAATTCTATTATAAAGATGGATCCTATTGTATCTCAAATCAGGATTCAAGGTAAGATGGAGGTTTAAACTTCGGCTTAGACCGCGATCTATAATGTAAATAATGTACCGATGAACTGGGAAAGGTCGATGGTAGTGGCTGGATGAGGAAAGGGAAAGATCGTGCTCTGTGGCGTGCCCTCGGGGACGCCTATGTCCAGCAGTGGACTACAATAGGCTGATTGGAATTGACATAAGGTAATATATTTAATCACGAGTTATAATTATTAATGTATCCATATTTTGGATTTTATACAGCGATATTTTCAGGCGATTTATATTTGATCGAGACATATTTAATACCGACAATCGTATCAAAAACATTAATTTTTTCAAATTCGAATCGGGCACGGAGTCCATAGGTGCAAATATTTAATCCTTAACATAAACAATACTTACAACTATTTAGACAATATCAACAAATGAGAAAATATCGTCAGCCTCGATATATTAGAGACGGCGAAGAGTATGTGCTCCGTGGGGTGTGCTCTTGTAGAAGCGTGTTCGGCCCTTAAGTCGAACTGCTCGTCGGGACAGGCATCGTGTTAACGAAGCGGATCGGATGTTATCGTGCACCAGCTTTATTGTTCTACTATGTCCTTGGGTCAACTTGGTCAATTACCTGTGGTCCTATACCGAAATACGGACGAAGCTGTAAAAGCCACCGAGCTAACAGCAGTCAGTAACTAACAGTCATCCATCAAGATTTCAAAATAGCTACATAGAATGTATTAAAGCATAAACTCATATGATTTAAAATATGTAGAGATCTGTGGAAAGGGTACATTTATTGACGTGCATTGTGATTTTGACATTTTGTTTGACAAATGAAAACAAAGTTAAGTTCAGCAGGTATCCACAGACAGAATTCATTAAATATTTGTTTTGTCTAGGTGAGCATTTTGTTAAGATATTGTTACTGTTAGGGATTAATTTAAACATACGGTACTGTTTCTTCCTATTGTAAAATAATATTAAAATAAAATAGTAACTGTTAACTAAAAGCTGCAAAATGCCAATAACTCTACAAGGAGTACGTCAGTACTTAAGTGAACTGCGAAATTCAGGGGGCTTACACAAAGACCAAGCAGAAAAGTGAGTAAAACGAAAATCTTATATTGACTTTCATGTGTATTTAAGAAATATTGTAATGTTTTTAATTTTTGAGGTACCGAAATGTTCTGCTGGAAATACTTCAAAACCCGGCGGATTTGGCTGACTCTCTAAAAGCATTTGTGGAATCTAGTATGTATTGAAACGTTTCATGTCATTAATATTTAATAATTATATTGTTTATATGTTATATAATGTTTACAATACCTTGCAGTTGTTAATGAGAATGTGAGCTTGGTTATATCTCGTCAGTTGCTGACTGATGTTAGCACTCACTTAGCATTGCTGCCAGATGATGTATCAAGAGAGGTGTCCCATTTTGCTTTGGATGTTATACAACCAAGAGTTATTTCATTCGAAGAGCAGGTGTGATAAAGAACTACCCTTGGTTAATTATTTGTTGATTATTAATTCAAAATCTATTTTTATACATAATTTTGGCATTATTTGTTTGAGCACAGGTTGCAAGTATAAGACAGCATCTTGCGGATATTTATGAAAGGCATCAAAACTGGAAAGAAGCTGCAAATGTGCTTGTTGGAATTCCTCTTGAAACTGGGCAAAAGTATGTATAAATAAAATATTTTTGTTTCATAGAAAAAATATACTTATTAAAAGACGTTAAGTATTGTAAAGTGATTACATATGGAACCAAGACCTGGTCCTTCACTGGTGGCTCTATCAGGAAGCTCAAAGTTGCTTAGCTTGGTATTTCTCAGCATGATAGAGTTTGCAACGAAGACATCCACAATAGAACAAAGCTAACCATTGGGAACTGATAGCCATTGGGAAAGAAGGGTTCTAGAGTGGCAGACTTGTTCTGGCCATCACAGTGTAGTTCGACCTCCCCAATCCCTACTAAATGGATGCAGGTGGCTCAGGTTGTACTTTGTGGCAATCTGTGGGTGAGGCCTGGGTTCAGCAGTGGACTTAAAGAGACTGTAATGATGATGATGATAATTTGTATGTATAAATTTTTTAAAAGTTGTGTTGTTAGGTCTTAACTAAAAATAATTAACTTGATTGCCCCAACATGTGGTAACTATGAAGTTTTAAGAATTTAAAAACTAATGAAAAATGTAAATGAGGTTATTACTTCTTTGGTGTGTTAGGAGAGTTACTTCAACAATTTCAACATGTCATAGATGCTGATCAGTTGTTTTTTCTAGCAGTTCTTAGATATTTGCCTATAATTTTTTCAATCATAACATTTGTGTCAATTAGAATTAGTTGTTAATAAAGCATGCAGTATCAATGTAAATAATTACAATTTTTTTCAGACAGTACTCAGTTGACTACAAGTTAGAGACATACTTGAAGATTGCTAGGCTCTACCTTGAAGTTGATGATCCTGTTCAAGCTGAAGCATTTGTTAATAGAGCTTCTTTACTGCAAGCAGAGACCACAAATGAACAACTACAAATATACTACAAAGTGTGCTATGCCAGAGTATTGGATTATAGGAGGTTAATACACTGCTGTAATTTAATTCATACAGTTGAAAAGTTAAAATGTGTTTTGTGTTTAAGACATCATCAGCAATTGCCAACTTTTTGTGGTATTGTAAATTGTTATATTAAAGCACAATACAGGTCATTTTTTTTTTTTAATTTTATTGTATTGTTAATTATAGAAAGTTCATTGAAGCTGCGCAGCGATACAACGAACTTTCGTACCGCAATATAATTCATGAGGACGAAAGGATGACCTGTTTGAGAAATGCCCTAATCTGCACTGTGTTAGCATCTGCAGGTATTATAAAAAAATAATATTTTATATATCTTTTATTAAGGAGCATTTTTTTTTTTATATGAAAAGTTGCCCAACGAGCAGATCCGTTGACATCCTTTTGAAAATTGGGCTCTGGCCACCTCACTCACCAGGCGAAACGCGAAAGTATTATACTTCCACTTTACGCCGGTCTTATACACTATTCTTAGTGATTTGTCTTAAGATCTTTTTTGTCAGAAGGCATGCTTTGCATCTTTGCTATGTCGGTCATCATGGAAGACTTGAAAGATGTGACTACTATCTTAATATTATAACTTACAAATTAATAAAAAGCCGTAAAAAATATAATTTAAGATTTACTAAATAATGAACTTTGATAGTTATTGGTTAACTTTTTTTATAATAAAAAAAACATAAGGAAGCTCAGAGTAGTGGCGTAAAGGTGAAGAATTGTGAAATTTAGTAGCAGTGTATGACTTTCACCAATTGTGTGTATTTCAGGCCAACAACGTTCAAGAATGTTGGCAACACTCTTTAAGGACGAACGCTGTCAACAACTACCTGCATACTCAATCTTAGAGAAGATGTACCTGGACCGCATCATTCGTCGCTCAGAGTTACACGAGTTTGAAGCTCTAATGCAAACTCATCAGAAGGTAATCACATTAGAAACGGATCTTTCTATGTATGTATATTCTTTTTTTCTTTTTTGTGGCTATCAGCCGTTTAGCTCAGTGGCTAGAGCGTCAGGCCGCGAATGCCGAAGACGTGGTTTCGATTCCCACAGCGGCGACAATCTTTTCGTACTTTTTCTACATGTTTTAATATGTATATTCTTATCAATTCAGAGAGACATAAAATCATTTTATAACATACTGAATGTATCTTTTTATATGGCTTACTCATTTCTTTATTGTGTTTGGCAAGAGGCAATCTTTTTAATGTTTAATTCAAATGTTAGTATGATTTTTTTTAATGTGAGAAGGTGGGCAAGCGACCTTGCGGTTCATCTTATGATAACCGCCACTTATGAACATTTGCAACTGCATTCCTACGGGTGGATGCAAATGCGTTGCCACCTTTTAATAAAGTGGGCCCCCATTACATTACTCACCAGAAAAAACGCAGAATACCTCTTCCCGCCGGTTTTCTATGAGTTCGCGGCACCTCCCCGGACGGACCGGCCCATTCGTGCGACAGTGAAAACAATAGTTTTGTACATGCCCCTACCACAGCCAAATAAGAATGATTATTGAACCCAAAAAATTTTAATTTGTCAAACCAATAGATGGCCACTCGGTAATTTATCCCTGCGTAACTTGGACGAATAATTATTGCACCCAAAAAAAAAAATTTCTTAAACCAATCGGCTAGAAAGCCACTCGGTACTTTAACCCCGCGTAACTTAGACTTAGTGAATGAAAACAAACCTAGATGTTTAAATAGTTTGTCGCTTGCAGGCCACAATGCCGGACGGCTCCACAATATTGGACCGGGCGGTGTTCGAGCACAACTTACTGTCAGCCAGTAAGCTATACAACAACATAACTTTCGAGGAGTTGGGCGCGCTTCTGGAGACGCCGCCCGCGAAGGCCGAGAGGATCGCCAGCCACATGATCAGCGAGGGCCGCATGAATGGCTACATCGATCAGATCAGCTCCGTCGTGCACTTCGAGAGTATGTCCAGTTCACCTTGCCCACAGTATTTAGTTATATTAAAAGAAATTGCAAATTGATGACAAAAGAATTAAAGCGAAACGTCTCAACTGTGGTAGGGCCACGCAACAGTGATCGTGATTGCACAGTTGGGCAGATCCGTCCGGTTCCACCACCACTTATCGGTTAGCGGTTATCACTTAATTAAAACGTTTCACACTTTCTCACATAAAAAAGGATATATATATCCCCCCCCCTCACTTTTCAGTACCTATAAAATCAACAACGACATTCCAATTTGAAACCCTATAGCAGCAATCCCATTTGATGGACGACCCAGCACCGGGTCCCGAAAATAAAATCGCGCAGCATGGCCTTTTTATAATAATACTAGGGATCCTTCGATCGTTGTCGCATCTCAAACGTAACAATAACTGGACTAAAGTGCCGGACTGGATAAAGTCAAAGTCAAATTTTTTTTATTCAATATTGGCTTATTTTGAGCTCTTATTCAATGTCAAATACTACCACCTGTTCACTAAACTACACCTGCCAGAGAAGAACCGGCAACTGCGGTCTATCTTTTTTTTTCTTTTGAACTATGTTAGCATGTACACAAAAATATTTTAGTGTAAAATGAGCAGGAGCCAGGGTACTTGCAAGTGCAGAGCAAGAGTCATTTTCACACATCCTTGTCCGCAATGTATTCCTGGACATTATAATATGCCCTGTCCATTAAGGTAGCTTTTACAAAATGTTTGAAACTATTTACAGTTAATTGTTTGTGGATGTCACCTTCCATTATCTAAGTTAATACATCTACCAAGAAACGATTTCTTGGTTTTAGATAGCCTAAAGCTTGGTATTTCCAGCGTGTCGCCATAGCCCCGACGCGATGTGTTATGTTTTTTTGTAAAAAGATGTATGTTATTTCGTACATATATGATGTTCTCGAGTATGTATAGCGACGGAAGCAGTCAGACGTTTATTTGCATAAAAATATGCCGAAGGAATTCACGTGGACCCAACCCATAGACAGCCCATATCGCTTGCTTTTGCAATACAATTAAATATATAAACACAATAATATAAAAACAGAGTTCGAGAAACGTTGCTCTATAAGTACAGTAAATGTCGTAAGTTTTGTTTGCACTTGTCCTATGGAAAAACAGAGCAAATGGTTTTCGGTATTTACGCGAAGACTCGCATTATTAGATAAACAATTTTACGGATAGTGACGTTTATTTTTGGTCGTAATTCTCAAACAAAAGTTAAATTGAAACCCAACTTAAGTCTTAAACGCTATATAGTTAGAAAAAATTCTAAATTTAACAAGAGAAAACATGTAAAAAATATTACGGACAAAGTCTAGTGCATGTCTTTACAAAATTATTCAAGTTATATATTGTATAATTATATTAATTGTATAAATTATGAATAATAATTGCCGTATAATTACATCATCATCAATAGCACCTCATACTGCGGCGCGGTAATGTTATGTAGAAAATTTATTTACTCAGTGCGCCTTCAACCACAAAAGCCTGGCGGACCAGACCACAGGTTGAGAAAAGCTAGTAGCTGGTCTGGGCTGTCTCTTGCCATTAAGCTAGATCAATTTTATCAAATCTGTTATACAATAACTTTTCTTTATAAGTATATTTTATGATTTGACAGATATTTATCATAGATTCGTCTATGATACATAACCGTCTCCGTATCATTCTTTCCTGATATAAGATTAGCGAAATACATGGTAAGGATTACAGTCTATTATTATCTTTGAATTTCCAGCTCGTGAAATATTGCCGCAGTGGGATAAACAGATCCAGAGTCTGTGTTATCAAGTGAATAGCTTGATTGAAAAAATCGCCGCCGCGGAACCCGAATGGATGGCCAAAGTCATGGAAGAGGAAATGATTCAGTAGGATTCTTATCTAAATCTATGTTTACAATAAACTCTTTTTAATAATATTGTTTGATTTAAAAGAAAAAGTATGTCTTAATCCAAAAGATATAAATGTAAGTACCTGGATTACCGAGGTTTGCTCGGTTTTTTGTCAAATGCAATGGGTGTCTGTTATCATTTAAAATTAGGTGAACCGCCAGCTCGTTAGCCACCTTCTCACATAAAGGGGAATTACATACACATTTTTAAAGGCGAATTAGGACTTTTCAAAAATGACGAGACGACTTTGTTATGCTCTCTTATCCTTGCGATTCGTGCTTTTTGTGCCAGCGACTACGTCTGCGTAGAATAGGCTGAAAGCGTAACATTCAGACAGATATACTTACATAAAATATGTATATAAATTATAGCCTATGTCTTATTCTGATTTATAAGCTATATTATGTAAAGTATCATTAAAATCCATTCGGTAGCATTTGCGTGAAAAAGTAACAAACATCCATCCATACATACAAACTTTCGCCTTTATAATATTAGATAGAATATAAAGTTATATGCCTTCGTGTGTGCTGGCCAAGCCAAGAAATCAATTTTATCTTTAATTATGAGTATTATCAATATAACTTACAAATATTAACTAAAATTATATCAAGTTCCCGAGACTTGATAAAATGTTAAAAGTAAAATTTGGCTGTTGTATTTCGTGGGACGAAACGCGTAAGCACCGCCCACGGCGCATAGGACTTTTTAGATATTAGTTACTTACTTTTAAGATTTATTTAGATAAGACCACTAGATGGGATCTAGTGTGCATGTTTGAATCGTTTAGGGGCAAAGATACATTTTTGGGTAGACAATTAATGATTGTTTCTGCGCTACAGCAAACTTTAAGATTTAAAACAAAATGGAACAACACTTTGTTGGGTTTTAGCTTCTCTAGTAAATAACTCAATGTTAATATTCTAATTTTTCTTAATGTTCATAGGACATTAAACATATTTTACCTGGACGCCTACTATGAAAACTAAGCTTTTTAAGGCTTAATATGTTTATCCTCATGCTTTAAATTTAGTTTTTTATTACAAATATAGTAAGTATTCTTTAGTAGATCCAACCACTTACTAAAAAACAACATTGTTGTTGTAGGTTAATAACTTCTGGGATTTTAATTTCTTGGAGTGAGAGGAAGCAAGGATAAATAAAAAAAGCAACTCTTGATTCCAACAGACTATTCATTTTTATTCTCAATCAATCATAAGGAACACACCATAGGTGCTTATTTACAGGCGATATACTGTCAGTTGTGAATATTTGAATTCAATAAAACCATTCAGCAATATAGGATGCTTTGCAACACATGAATAGTAATACATAATACGTAAAACCAAATTACGAGGAAGCAGGCGTCTGCCCGTAGAATAAAGTGCGTAGAATCTCTTCGGCATTTCACACAATTTGATTGCTGCATTACATGCTTAGTTGCCTATGCACAGGACACCGCGATGCTTTAATTGATTATGTTATATATGCTTCCTATGTCCATTATATATAGTGAATGTGGCATTATGTATTATCTACAAGACTAAAACGCCATTGGCTTGAGTAAAATGCCTACGGTTCAAGTTCAAACGCGATGCCGACTTTGTGGCCACCGGCATTAAAGTTCTGGCCATCAATGGCGGCCGACAGAGTCAGAGTCACACCTGGAAAAAGAAAGTCTTATTTATTATAGAAAAAAAACCAATCGCTGTTGTTGCGTGTACATAGTCATTCAATTACTTATTGTTTAACGAAACATGCAGAAATTTTAATATTTATATTAGTAAAAACATAATATTTCAAAATTGATTCCACTATTTGAAGATTGATTATCTTAGGACTGTTTATGTAACACTTCTTTAAAATCGTATGATGCTGATCATACCATTCAAGATAATGTCCCATAAATGATAACAGTGATGTATGTCACTAAAAACAATAAGAGATCTTGTGCCTACTGATAAAAAGTTGCTAAACAGATTTACAATAGTAATAATGTTATAGACTAGACAAATTTTACTTTACTTACTATTACATAAAGTATAATAAATATGAGTTTAATTAATATTCAAAATTATACCTTAAACATTTACAGTAATGAAGTGCAAGCTTTGAGATAACATCCCTTTAAAGTTTATATAGATATTATTGTTTATAATAAAATAAGGCAATAAAGTTCACGCACCAGGACGCAGCTTCTGTTGGTAACCAAGCCCAATCAGAGATTTGTTGTTTATCTTAGCATGCAGCGATGCATCTTGGTCCAGAGCGAATTTGGCTCCTACACCAAAAAGTGTATCAGCAGAACCAGCAGTCCATTTCATGCTTACACCGCAGTCAATCTTATCGGACACTTTTTGGTAGATGGAACCACCAAAGTCTTTTCCATTGTCACTGCAAACAAATATTAATTATCATTTTTTTAAATCATAGATCTCCGTAAAATATACATCATATTAGCACATATTAAAAAGTAGTTAAATAAAAAATTGTACAATCTTGCCTATAATTCCCATGTCTGATCAGTGAATATGAAATCAAATTGGTAAATTGGTTTTTTAACAATGTGTAGGTATTCACGTAAACAAGAAATAGAAATTTAACAACAACTTATTTAATTTAACATATTAATCTGCAATCTTTTTTTGCTTCTACTTTTTTTTATATACAGTACTTCAGATTTCAGTTGAAACTATAAAATCTAGTATTGTTGTATCTCATAGATACAATGTAAATATGCTTTTGGTATGTAATTTTCAATGTATAATATAAACTTGTAAGCTGTTGTCATTAGATTCTATTAGGGATGCTAAATATGACCTTAGTTGTTTTATTGTTGAAAATGAGTTGTAAAAAAATGTATAATTATCATTATTCAAATCAAACAGAAAGATTATGAGAAAAAAAAAAAAAGTAATGTCATGACTTACACATTGGTGTGCAGAGCAAAGTCATTGGTTTGGTAACCAAAGGCAAAGTTGTTCTTGCTGAATTTGCCTTTCTGCGTATCGAACTGAGAGTTGGCACCAGCCAGCCAGCCTTGGTACTTCAGTACAGCGGCTACATCCACAATGGGTCCAGCCATATCCAAATCCAAGTTAGTGTTAACAGACACTGTTTCATTGGCAAAGGCAGTCTTAAGTTTGCCTGTCTTGCTCCTATGAAAATATTTCATAAAACATTATTAATGCATTTCAATTATTTTAGCAGAGTTCTTTAAACATTAAACATTTTACCCGGTCTGTGGTGCAAAGGTGCCCTCAAGAGTAACCTTAAGACCAGCGGCAATTTTGTCTTGAATGGTGATGTCAGTAGCAAGAGTGTTATCGGTGTTCCATTTTTCCGTGAATGTTAAACCATAATCCTTCACTGCATACTTTGATGAAAGGCTGCCAAATACCTGTTATAAATTTTAAGGATATTACCCAAAACATACATTTTTATTTTTAACATAAACACAGTCTTTATTAATTGAATTTTTTATTGTATTTCATAGATTGCTTATGAGATATTTACCTTGCCACTCTCTTGGTTGGAGGTGATGCCACTGCTGAATTCAACACCGGATTCACTCTTCGTCTTCAGGTCAAGTTTAAAGACACCAAAGTGGTAGCCTTTGCTGAAGACATCATTGGCCTTCTTGCCAAGATCAGCATAGTGTGGGGTTGCCATTTCCTGCAATTTACTTTGCAGTTAATTTTCAAGCTCAGTATAGTATAGCATAAATAAAAAAATATATTTATTGTTCATTAGATATTAATGAAGCTGTAAGACTGTATCATAAAGATTAGCAATTGGAGGCGTATAGTTCAGTGCCTGGGAACTCACTTTTTATTCAATATACTTAAGCAATCTCTCTAGGTTCAAATTTAGGTGTTGCACAAATAGATGTGTTGATTACAATTTTAAGTGGCAATTTATGATATGCCAATTGGTGAAAGAATTCATTGTGAAAAATTGTGCATAATATAGATAAAATAGCACTAACATTATTTGGAGTTTTTTTATTTCTTTTTATGTGAAATGTTGGCAAGCAGGCACGTTGTTTACCTGAAGTGATTACCACCAACCATTATCGACAACGCCTGAGGGCTTGCAAATACTTTTAACATATTTTTTTAAGTTTCATACCTATTCGAAATCTTGTTGAAAAATTTGTAATCACTAAATAGTAAAAAACAAAGTAGTTGCGCTGTCTTTGCATTGTCCCTATGTATGCTTAGATCTTTAAAACTACGCAACGGATCTTGATGCGTTTTTTTTTTACTAAATAGAGTGATTCAAGAGGAAGGTTTATATGTATAATACATTGCACCTGTGCGAAGCCAGGGCAGGTCGCTAGTAGATGATAGATGACAAAATAGCATCAAGCATTTCCTGGCATTCAACTTAGATATTTCAATGATTTGATTAGATGAAGAAGTTTTAGTGGCTAAACTAGTGACAACATATTGAATAGACAAGTATCAGTTTTAACATCAGTATAATGTATATCATGGTAGATTAAAAGGTACATATTTGTTCTTTTATAAAACCTTTTTGATTATCACTCTGTGCCAGCTGTGTCAGGGTCGTCTTTGCAAATTTATAAGTGTCACTCGATAACGTTATTACATAACACACAGGTAATAAAAGAGAACCCATTGCAAAAACAATATCCTACCTACCTATGATACTGCTTCTGATGCAATATAAAATTATTACTGTAAGTGATCGTACTATATGACCGTAAACTTGACCTTTAGCCAAAATCTGCCACTAAAGCTTAATAGTCTATGCGTATTGGTTATGTATTGATTTATTGCAAGAGTAGTACTGTTCAATAACTTATAAATTGTTACTATGTATTTATGGAAATATCAGAAGCAGATTTTCGTAAAAAAGTGAAAAAAAAAATATAAATTGGTAATAATCACGTGTATGACGTCAATAGCTGCCCGGCGAATTACACTAGTAATTGAATAATACTGCAATTCACCTTACAAGTGCTTACTGAAATAAGGACTAGAATATTTACTTACCGTTTGATGGATAAGTTCACTTACTGGAATCAGATAGGTATAACAAATTCTGTGAATTCCGAGTAATAACTTCACCTCTTGCCTCTAGTATCACAAGCAAGACAATTTAACTTCGTTAATGGTATTGCCAGAGGGCGCTTTTGACCGGAAATCTTGTTATTGACATTATAATGGTTTAGGTATATTTTTTTTTGTAGCACTCATTTGGTTATATTTCAAAATAGCAGTGGTAGTGATTAAAATTTAAAATTTATAAATGTCATACTTTTATACAATAATCAAAGAAAAAGTATTTTGTACTTAAAAGTATTCATTTGACTTAATATGTCATGCGCAATTGCGACTGATCGATTTTATTTCTATTGTAGATAGAAATTAGAACATAGAATAAGTGTATTTTTATTTGTTTGAACATATTGTAATATTCTATTTATTCATAGTTAATGAATAAAAATTAAATTGAACATTTATAAACATATAAAAATAATAATTTTTTAATGAAGTAGCAATACTGCTTTTATTTTGCAATATTGGTATTGCTACTTTATCGAATTTAGGAAAAGGAATGTTTAGTGATAGATGCACTGCACTATTTGGATTTTCCTTAAAGATGTTTAGAGAGTTTCTGGAAACTATCAAAAAATGTCTATGAAAGTACTCTGGTCTTTTGTGATATTAATAGCTTTTACTTGCTTTTAATGACCAAACTTCTATCATGTTGTTTTCATCATCTTCATTACTGGACGGGCATATGATTCTCTCACCATACTCGTTCTTGCAAATAATTTTTTCACCCATAGTCCCATCCTGTTTATGAATTATTTAACTATTTAGTAAAGACAAATTGGAGAAATTTTTTACTGACATTGTAAGTAAGGACTGGAAACATCTTTTTGGTGATTTGAATATGAAATTTTATTCAATATTATCAACTTATTATGCTCCGTTTTAAATGTGTCGTTAGTTAATAATTATTTCAGGATAAAAAGATTTAAAAAAAGAAGAAAAGTAAATAACTTTCTAACACTTTTAGAATAAAAACTTATAGAAAGAAACATACAGAAATTTACATGCTAAGTGTACGATACGTTAGGTCAAGTGCAAAACGTGTAACATCGACAGCTTTTGTGTGCTCAAATTTCTTTTACTACATTTTACAATACGCAGAGATATTCTAAGAAGTTTATCTCTCTGGGTTGTTATATGATTAGTCCAGGCAGTTATTAAATTCATACTTTATGCAATTTATAAGAGCTGCTACTCACTTCACGCAGACAGGGCACGGATTCTTTGGTAACAACTGCTAATACTGTTGGTAATGTAAAGTTTAGATAACAGTCCGTAATAAAGGTTTTCACATCAAAACCAAATGTATATTCAAAATATGACATAATTATTAAAAAAATCAATAAATAATATTAAATTATTAATATGTATCTTATTTGACAACGCGGGGTATCTAGATCACCCAAAATTTTGAATGAAAATAATCCATAAGGTTTTTGTTTCCGTAAATGACATTCAACAACCTAACGAAGATGCTTCTAATAGCTATCGGAAATTTTCTTATAATTGAGGGCAGCAATAGCTCAGGGAACAGGCGTTCGTATTTAATGTACTCGAGCAATCTCAGTTCAAATTCCGGTGCCAGCGCCAATGAAATTGTTAATTACAATTGTAAGAGCTGAAATATCACGTGCTCCGCGGTTAAGAAGAAGATGGAGAGGAAACTTGCAGAGGTATTTTTGAAATAATAACAAAAAAATGTTTCGAAGATATGTGAAGTCTGCAATGCCACTATGGGGTCGCGTATGTCCTTTTTACAAACGGGACCAGCCGTGGGACATATAATATAGGCTAGACTTAATTTACTTGTGTAATGCTTAATGTACTTTTGTATCATTAAAACAAACATTAAAATTATATTGTATAATTTTTGCGTGAATTATATAATACTTATTCGACGTAGTAAAATAAAAATTGTTGTAAAATAGTATTAGTTGGTGCAGTTGCCGAGTGACAGGCAGGGCGGGTCGTTGGGTCGATCCCACGCGGGGCAAGTATTTTTATGACACAATATGCTTCAAAAATATAGGATTACATAATTCTACATTAGAGTTTTTTAAAATAGAAGAAAAAAACAGATGAATAAAAACCGTCTACGAGCATCATATATTAAATATTATTTTAACAAACGAACGAATAACTAAGCGATTCGTGAAAAGTGACGTCAAACAGTTTGGATTGCAGTAGTTACGACATTTACTGCGGCAATCTGGGGCAGACTTTCAGATAGAGCACGCAATATGCTACGAAACTACTTCCTGCATTTCAATTTTTTGAATAAAAATTAAAAACTATATAGTCATTAAACAATATTATATGTACCTAATCACTACATAGTATAAAACAAAGTCGTCCCGCTGTCTGTCCCTATATATATGCTTAGATCTTTAAAACTACGCAACGGATCTTGATTCGGTTTTTACTAGATAGAGTGATTCAAGAGGAAGGCTTATATGTATAATACATTGCACCCGTACGAAGCCGGCGCGGGTCGCCAGTCATTTATAAATTAGTGTTTTAACTATATGACTGAATAACATCAATGCCTTAACAATAATTGTTTACTACTACACTACAGAGCGCCACTGCTTTGATTTAATTATTATTTTTAAAAAAACATTGCCCTTACTACATTATCATATTATCCTGATTCTACATTATCATTTAGTATCCTGATTCCTATGTTGTAAGGACGTTTTACAAATATAAATTTCAAGCGGACAAACACCCAAATGCGAAACAACTATCTTGGGGTCACACAAATAGTTGTCCCATGTGGGAATCGAACCCACGACCACCGACGCCGAAGCCAATACCTTCGCAACTGCACCACGGAGTCATTTGTGTTCAAAAGCCAGTAAAAACAAAAATATAATAAAAAGTTCTCAGAGATATATGGTAAATGGAATATAGGGATTTGGCCGAACATAGTCCCCAGAAAAAACAATGGTGCTTGGAGGAGCCCTCTTAAGATATAACCTACCTATGAGCATTTTTTTTATTCATTTAATCCCCAATTACTTTTTAAATAGAAAATTACAAAAGGCGGACTGGTTAATCTTTGGATTGATGACTCCGTGGCGCAGTTGCCAAGTTATTGGCTTCGGCGTCAGGGGTCGTGGGTTCGATTCCCACACGGGACAACTATTTGTGTGACCCACAGATAGTTGTTTCGCATCTGGGTGTTTGTCCGCGTTAAATTTATGTTTGTAAAACGTCCCTACAACACAGGATAATGTTATCCTAAAGTAAGGGCAATGTTTTAAAAAAAAAAAAAAAATAAAAAATTTAGTCAAGTGCAGAGAGCAATAAATGGAAAAAATTCAAAATCTTATAAATGCATACCTACATAAATTTAAATTGCAAGCATGGCAAGTACAATTGGACATGGTGACTTTTAGAATCTGTCCCTAAGACTTATTATCACGAAGAAAGCTGATACTGAAAATTGTGTGCTCTTTCATTGGAATGGAAAGTTGTTGGGAATGAGTTTTGTTTTTCGTTTATTTTTTAAACACCCAGATCCGAAACAATTACTGCAAGTCGCAGAAATAATTGTCCCGTGTAGGAATCGAACCCACGCCGAAGGTAATGTCTTGACAACTGCGCCACGGAGTGATCAAGCGAGTGGTATTAGCGGAATAAACACAATTTCGCTAGAGCCACACCTAGCTACCATTCAGCTTCAACCAAGTAGCTAACCTAGACAACACAGTTTGCGTCTGCACTGCTTGAATCTTATTACTCCCATATCTTCCGTTTGAGTGAGCCGATTGATATGAAACAAAGCCTATATGTTGCCCCAAGCTAAGCTTAAGTAACCAGTGAAAACTGCATCAAAATCCGATAATTAGTTTTGAAGTCATAAGCGAACAGGCAGACAGACAGACATACAGAAATTCCAAAAATGGATTTATGAGTCCTATAACTCTTTTAGTGATACCCTATTTAATTTTGTCACAAATATATTCAATGTACAGGCACACCGATTCTACTCTTTTATTATTGTTTAGATATGTAAAGAAATTATTCATTTGGTATCGTACCAAGTATAGAACAAAAGCTCTTGTAGGTACTCGAAATTTCGTATGTTCCAATTCTCGATCGGTTGTGGGCTTATTTTAGCCGCCTCTGTACAATCGCCAAACAGTTGCTTCAATCTTCGCTCGACAGTCGCGGAGGATTCATTAGTTCAAAATCTTCATTTAATGCGATGGACGTTCCACAGTATGACGTATTACGAAACGATAAATACGGACGTTATTTAGTCGCCAAAAAGGATTTGGACCGTGGCGAGTTAATATTCACAGATTTGCCCTTCACAATCGGGCCTAAGCCAGGCAAGTACTTTTTCTACGAAATCCAATGAATTTTTCTATCTTTTGCAATCTTCTTTTTTTTTAAAGTCATCAGGTATGCAGGCGGTTCACCTGATGTTAAGCGATTACCGCCCATGGTCATCTACAAAACTAGGTTTTTAAAGAGAGATGAATTAACGTTGAACTGGAAACTAATATCTTAGTCGACTGGAATCAGTGGCGGATTTACCTATTTGTCGCCAATAGGCGGTTAAATTTTTCCGCCCCTACTGAATTCAGACTTATCACGTTCTCAGCGGTGAAGGAAAAAATCGTGCATATTTTCGAAATAATAACAAAAAATTTTTTTTTGAAAATATATGAAGTCCGCCTATCTGCAGTGGGGTCGAGTGGTGGACTATGCCCTGATACCCTCTTTACAGAGGCCTTTGCCTACTTTACTTTTCTGATCTCTGAAATTCGGTACCCTAGTTCGCAAACGTAATTATTAATTACATTTATTCTGTCAATAAAATTGCAACTTTATGATTTGTGCTCTATCGTCTTCCTTATATTAGTTTTTTCTCGTTATTAGCATGATTTGAACTAGGGTTTCGTTGTGTCAGTTTTACAACCCCGATATAGTGAGCATTACAAGAAAAATAGTTGTATATATATTATAGTTGTTGGGTATATTTCTGAATTAAAAAGCGCTAGGTAAATTTACCATACTCATCATGTTGATACAAGTAAGTAAATGCATTCAATTATTCGACATTCTCGATTGGCGTAGTGGGTAGTGACCTGTCTCTTGCGCCAGAGGGAGTGGGTTCGATCCCCACTATTGGAAAAATATTGTGTGATGAAAATTGTGTTTTTCCAGTGTTTGGGTGTTTATATATTTATAATATATATTTATTTACAACAGAAAAGTATGTTTAATTAAGTTTATCAGTTATTTAGTACCCATATTAAAAGCTTTGCGTAGTTTCGGACTATAGAGCTTTGTGTAAAAATGTGCCCTAAATATCTACCTATTAAACTAGGCTTAGTCACACCCAGACCGGAAACAATTATATGTGGGTGACACAAATAGTTGTACTGTGTGGGGATCGAACTCAGCATCCCCGGCGCCGAAGTCAATACCTTGACAACTGGCCACGGAGCCATTAAATTGCTAATAATACTAGTTTTATAGGACCACAACTTGGACAGTTGTGTTCCTATAAAACTAAAACGCGGGGCGATCAACGAACTTCTGAGGTTGTATCTCATTAGATACACCACCGCTGTGCCTCGGTTGCTACTGCCATGTGGAAAATGCGCTGTGCTCCCGTTGCGGCTGGCCTGTATGCAACTCTGAATGCGAACGATCAGAGCAGCATGCGGCAGAGTGTGAGGTATTCTCCAGCGCTAAGGTTCGATTCCAGCCTGTGGACGATTGGACCGCCAGTGCACCACAGCTTGATTGCATCACGCCATTGAGGTATGGGTTTTTTTAATAAACATAGTTTTTGTTGGGATAGGGCAGTGACAGCAGAGAGACGTTCGTACAGAATGACAATCTTGTTTCAAGTAAGGTACACTGTGAAACAGTTGCCATTATACCCTCAATGAAGGAAGTACAGATCAGTTGAAATGTATTAAGTATCATAATGAAGTACAGACTACATGGAATGTATAGAGTATTTTTGTAATATTCCAACAGTTTTCACTATAGGATGACATTGCCCAGTATTGAAACACTTTTGACGTACCCACATTAGGTTCTGTAGTATCGAACTCTTGACTCACGAGCACGATCACTTATGAATGACAAGCCATCAAGATATATATAATTTATTAATATGTATATTTTTTATGTTATTCATTTCATTTTTTTATATTTTAATGTTATATCTTTGTTTTTGCTTATTGATAATTTAATCACGTGGAAAATTTTATCTTCCAATAAATATTTGATTATTATAGGCTTATGTTTTATTTTAATCATTTTTAGATCGTTTTTCTGGTACCATATACGTTGACGTAATCTTATGGATTGTACTTTTGTAATGCAAGGCTTTCCTAAAAATAACGCCACTGATTATTAAAGCGGAAGCTGTCACTTATCGAATTGTTATAAAAATCAACCAAATAAAAAAATCACAGATTCTTTTCATTTGATTTTTCAGGTTACTTCTAGCAAAAGAACATGAACCCAATCGATGGCAGCAGGAGTTGGATGTTATGGAAGTACATTCGACCGCTCGCCGAGAGAGGGCCACCTGGGAGGTAGACCAAGTGAACATTGTGGACTTTCTGATTGATCACTGCAAACTCGGCGGTAGGTTCGACAAGGAACTAGTACGGAAAGCCTGTGGAATTCTAGAGGTGAGTTAAGTGAAAAAACAGAAGCATCGATATAATCAAAAGTCAAAGTCAAAGTCTTTATTCAATTCTATATTGATTTTGCATTACACTTACTTATTGATAGTCAAAAAAACTCTACCACCGGTTCGGAAGGAAAGCCACTGACCTGAGAAGAACCGGCGTTAGAAACTCGGCGGCACATTTTTTTTAACTTGACAAAAAATAACAATTTATTAAATTCCACTTGAAAGAGCCTGGAGCGATCAATTCATTTCCAGAGTGTGTTATCATTCAAATAATCACTAATACTATAATAGCCATTAACACACAAAGGTTCCTTTACAAGTTTTTTGAATTTAGCAACGGATTCATTTTGAACGTTTTCTGAGATTTCGTTGTAAAAGCGTATACATTGTCCCATAAAAGATTTACTTATTCTACGCAATCTAGTTGAGGGTAGAACTATTTTATGCTTGTTCCTAGTATATACATCAAGCACATTACTAAATCTTGAAAAGTCATTCTTATTTTTACGGACATACATAACATTTGCAAGTATGTACTGAGAAGCTACAGTCAATATTTTTATTTCTTTAAACAAGTTTCTTGGTGAATCTTTGGGGCCCAGATTACTAACTGCTCGAATATATTACTAATAAGATTAATTGTAGAAGTGGTCACCTACCTAATGCGTGCCGTGAATTCAATCCGCACACGGTACGAAAATTTATTCATCTATTTAAATATTTAAATTAATATTAACAAATCACATTATCAATAGAACTGTGTGAGCTGCTTACAGTTGCCTTTATAATAAGCACTCTCCAAAATAGACGCTCTTTAATGCAGTTTGATCTAAACTGATTTCAGAAAGCTATAAAGTCGTCGCCATCCATTGTTGTCTCAATAAACATACCCAAATACAATTTCGAGTGAGCTATTTTAAAGCCGAGTTGCAATAGCAGATACTAAACTTGGCAAGGCGTTTCGATGTCAATGGCCTTTCTCCGTCTTTTACTATATCTGATACATTATAACTGTGATAAATGCAATATGAGATCTGTTATTGTATGTACCACTTGACATTCTATTTTCTTTATTTATTCTAACCAATGATGTTTACTAAAGCTGACGCATTTCCATACTGCGCGGCGTTTAAAAATTGTTCCACTTTACATTATATGACTAATATAAGTGAATGTGACTGATGATATAGAACATATGATAGGGAAAGAGATAGCAGTCTATAGAATTACAATTTAATCACACCAATTGGCGTAATTGGAGTGTCCCAGTTTTGTTGCGCTAGTGTCATATCTCCCTCTTATTTGTATATAAGTACCTGGAGGACCTTGTTTTTTTTTTTTTTGGTAAATCGTATATTTTGGAAATTACATTTAAATACAAATTACTAAGTAATGAAATTTGCATAATATGTTTCGATCTTACCGACGTAATAATAAGAAAATATGAGCTGGTGTTTCTCACAAAAGAAAGAACTTTAAAAAAAAAGGGAAAAAATAACAAAATAACAAATCGACAAAAAATAAAAGATACAGAAAGCAATGATCTGGAATCGAAAAAAAAGTAAAAATTAAGGGTGTAAATGATCGTTCGTATCACGATCATCTGTTTCGTGGCTGTTTGTTAGCGGCCGCCCGATTACCGACCGAGCTATTATAACATTTTTTTTTTTCGGTGAAATTTACCGAATTCGTATTCGAATAATATTTTTCATTCCCTGAAAACTGGGATAAAACGACATTTTGTAAAAATGAAACCTAGTCAGATCGATCTTTCGCCCCCGAATCTACGCACATACTAAATTTCATGAAATTCGCTGGAGCCGAGATTCCAATTATATATATATATATAATTATATATATATATATATACAAGAATTGCTCGTTTAAAGGATAAGTACCATTGATTGTAACACATTTTTATGCCTTTACACATTTTATAACTCCTCTCAACACTCGAAGCTAACCAAACAGTTTGAAATATGTATATTTATTTAAGAGATTTTAATTTGTTATTTATTTGTATGTAAAAAATGTGTGTTATATAGATGTCTATGCTACTACGGAACTCACGTAGTATTACGTATTATTTACACACGAAATGTTTAATTCCATAAAAAAAATATAAACATTTTCCCCCTTTTTCATTTGTTTACTTCTTTTGTGCAGATAAATGCTGTGGAAATACCATCTAGGGGCGGTTTTAGTGTACGGGCGATATATCCACGATTGGCAATAGCAGCGCATTCCTGTATCCCCAATATAGTCCACACTATTCTCCAGAACGACTATAAGTATGTACTATGTACACTAATGTAACTAAATTGAAAATCTTCGAAATGGAATATGTTCAAGTACCTACTGTGTAATAATGAATGGCGAATATAAGAGTATCTAAAAGAAAATGAAAGCTGTTGCTATCTTTTTCGTCCCTTTCTATTTAGTGTTTTGGTAAACCCATCGACCTATTAAACAATATGGTAACTACTGTAGGAAACCTTGAACTATAAACTTTGTTCTACACTAGGGGAAATGAAATCTGTGACTTCAGAATCACACCAGTGAATGGATTTAGTTGCAGTGCCTTTTTATTCGAATACTTTTAATGCATACATACCTTTACTTCAAAAGCCGATTATAATAGCTTCGTGAGAGAGTTGCATGGAGTATTAGGAAAGTTTTGTGTTCATTAATTTCAATCCTGGACCTGATGTATAGCGCACTATTTTTACTTTATAAACATTTTATGTACGAAGTGAAATTAATATATATCACTATGACAAAGCGGCTTACTCTGGCACGTAAAGGCAGGCTCGGCCGCAGGACTACCACTGCATCACAGAAGACCTCACAAACTGGAAGTGATATAATTTTGCGTTTTGTCTGGTTAGTAAGGCAAACGGGACCCATTTTAAAGGGTAGCGACACATTTACATACCTCTAGTGTCCACGGGCGGTGGGAAGCACTTATCATCAGGGTGCCTACTCGCTTGGCAACTTTATATGTTAATGTAATAAATATATTTATTAATATTGCAAAAGTATTCTCATATGCAGGTGATCGTATTACGCTTATATTTATTGTTTTATTATTCTTTTGAAGACGTAAAGAGATGGAAAGCTGCCAGCTCTTTGCTGGCTCTGTCGACGATCGCTCGTCTGTTGATTTTAATTACCTTATACCTATTTATAAATCCACCTTTTAGTCAAGTTTAAATTGTTTTACAGGGCTTGGGCAAGATCGGTCATAAATATGAGCAACAGAAATAAGAACAAAGTAATCTAATCTATGCATGTTACTGGGTTTCGAACCTGCGAAAATAGTTTATAATACCGACGTTGCATTCTAACAAGTTTCTTGTATTTCCAGAGTTGAAGTGCGCGCTGCTGTAGCGATAAAGAAAGGGGAACCATTACATTTATGCTACACTCACGCTCTCTCACCTACGATAGTGAGACGTGAATACTTACTTGAATCAAAATATTTCAACTGCGACTGTCAGAGATGTGCCGATCCCACTGAATTGGGAACACACTTGAGCACGTTGAAATGTAACAAATGTGATAACGGCATAGTATTGTCTACAAATCCTCTAGGTATGTAAATATATGATCCCATCATCATCATCATCATCATTTCAGCCTGTTTGAGTCCACTGCTGAACATAGGCCTCCCCATAGACTGCCACGAAGCACGATCCTGAGTCATCTGCACCCATCGACTTCCTGCACATTTGCACAGGTCGTCACTCCATCTAGTGGGGGGGTCGTCCCACACTGCGACGGCCAGTTCGAGGTTGAATTCTGAATTTTGTGATAACCGCCGCCCATGGACATTTGCAACACCAATTGGGTTGCAGGTGCGAAACTACCTTTTAATAAAGTAGGCCCTCGCTACCTCACTCACTAGACGAAAAGCAGCAGATCCATTTCCAGATTTCCATATCACACCGGTCTTCGGTGACAGTATGGTACTTAAACGGACGCACCTGCCCATTCGTGCAACAGCCGAAGCTGTTGCACGGCCCTACCACAGTTAACCGAGCCTGTGCATTGTTTAAATAACAAAAAAATTGTATTTCCGGACCGATACAACTTGGAGACCTTCAAGAATTACTATTCCTTCCGGACCTGCAACGCAATTGTGACTCTTCTGGTGTTGCGAGTGTCCATGTGCGGTGATGAACACTTACCACCAGGTAGCGCGGGTGCTCGTTCCGAAGAAAAAATGTTTTCATAACAAGAAAACAATTTTTAAGGCATATGAAGTCTACTAATCTGCAATGGGGCCGCTTGGTGGCCTATGCCCTGACATACTCTGTATAGAGGTGGCCTTTACCCAGTAGTGGAACATACGTAAACTGTTACCAATTTTTTAGGTTTTATTTTATTTGAAAAAGATGGCCATTCACTTAACGCCGGTGTTCTGTCTGGGCAAGTTGGTCAAGTAACTGTAACAAATATGTACTTAGTAAGCGGTTACGGTTTTCTCAATGTAGATGTTAGGCTTTATGTTGCTTTTAAGTTGTCTTAACAAAAGTATATTAAATCTGCCCTTTAGTACCTACCAGATCTAAAACAATTGAACATCTTATGGATTTTTACAAATGAATTTTAATCACAATTTTTAGATAACGACGCGCAATGGTCATGTACAGAAAAAAAATGTGGCTTTAAAACATCCGGAGCAGCGATGAGGAAACTATTGGCAGTAGTCCAAGCGGAAGTTGATCAGCTAGACTTATTGGAACCCGGCCCGCAGTCCATCGAGCAGAGGGAGGCAACCATCAAAAAAGTAAATGTATTTTAATATTTAATTCATCTCGTCGTGTAATGTCTAGAAAACTGAATAGAACTATAATTTTTGAATGTAGCGAATATCTCTCTAAACGCCGTACTTCATCTTCGTATTTGAATTAAAGTCTTACGAATAAGACTCCAAATGACAAAAAACTAATATAGGTAATGGTGGTTTACTTAATTAAATATTTTACAACATTATACAATGCGCAACAAAAGCAAGAAATAAATAAATTTAATCGATTAATTTAGTCATCAAATTGTCGAAACTTATTAATTTTTGGTTTCAGTACAAGTCGGTGTTCCATCCGCGTCATTCTATTCCTCTCTCTATAAAACATGCATTAGCACAACTCTACGGACGTGTGGAAGGCTATAATATCGATGACCTTCCAGACCTCATGCTGGAAAGAAAAGCGGAGTTTTGTCGCCTCTTACTCAAGACGTTTGACGTCATCACACCAGGAGACAGCCGAATGAGAGGTGAGCATGGTTAATTCTTAGATTTTAAGGGGAAGGTAACAAACACAAAATCCCCATCCTCATGGTTATCACCAAAGGCCAGAGACGTTGCAAGCCTTTCTCTATTAAAGTAGAAACAAAAAATAATCTAATTTTGTTTTAGCTTCTAACCTTAAGTATTTCGTTTTTTGTTGCCACTTAACAAAAACGGCCCCTAATTTTAACAGGAATGATGTTCTACGAACTCCACGCACCGGTAATGTATTTGGCGAGAAGTGAATTCAGCAGCGGGCTCATTACAAAGGAGAAGTTGAAAGAACGATTGCAAGAACCTATCCAGTGCCTAGCGGACGCAGCGAGAATCCTAGGGCGGGAAGACCCGCAAAGCCCCGAAGGCATTACAGGCCAAATTGCGTACCAATGTATGGAGCAACTTAGAGCAAGCCTTGAAGCATTATAATTAATATAAATTAAATGAAGAGCTTAACTTTATTACTTAAAATCTGTGAAGTTCTAGTTGTTGGTGTAAAATGGAAAATTATTTTAATTGCTTGCCAGTGAAGGAAAGCAAGTTTTTAATGTTATATAATTTTGTTAATCAAAAATTTCATGATCCATGAGTTTTTTTTATGATAATAACAATTAATTTTTCAGTATTTTTATTGTGTAAAGAGATAATACAGTAAAAGACATCACTTTTTTTATTATTTATTAAATCATATTAAAACTTAGAACCTTATTTTTTTGGGTTTCTTCATGCCTTCCTTGAATGTGTTTTCTACTTTTTGATTAATGTCTTCAATATTTTCAGTGTTATCCAATGTCTGCAATTTTATTGATGTTTCCTCTTTCTTTAAATTTGTCTGAAAATATTAAATTAACATTTTAAGTAAACTTATACATTATCTATACAGCAAGTAAAAACTAAACTTGCTGGTATTTTGAACATTCTTCTAAAGTAAAAGGCTAAATTAATAGAAGAAAAAATTAAATTAAATTTTTTTATAGTGCTAATCTCTGCACTTAAGATTGAATATTAAAATTTGTGGAAAAAGTACAAAAAGATTGTTGCCGCTGTGGGAATCGAACCAATTTCGCGGCCTGACTCTTTAGCCACTTAGCTAAAGGGCTGATTTTTTTTCTACAAATTATAATAATAGAAGTCTATTAAAGACAAGTGGTGGATAATAAATAGTTTTTAATTCTCCTCTCAGCATTTATTATAAAGCCACCCAACTTTAATTTATAAAGCCAATTGGTAGCTCCTACTTCTCTAAAATCTTAGTTCACCATTGGCAACATTTAGAAAGTTTAGAATTAATTAATTTTAGAAACAGATGATCCTTAGGTGGTGAAAATAAATCAAGAAGAAACAAATTGCATCACAAAATTAACTTCCTACATTCATGTATTACATACTAGCTAAAAACCAGCAACTTTGTCTGCATTCCTTTTAATATTAATAACTACACACAAAGATAACCCACATCACTGAACACTAAGAGCTTATAAAGATTGTTCCTTGAAACTTTAATACTTTTACATTAAATGAAAATAACTCATGGATTTATTTTTTACAAAATGTTCAAATGTGTAATAAATTTGACAACTAATAAAATTTAAAAGAATTAATTTAAATCTATCCACAAGTGTTGTGTGCGCACAGTAGCAGACCTTTAATATATATTTATATAGAAGGTAATCTGTTGGTATTACTTACAGTTGGACAGTCTTTCTTCAAGTGAGTGACATCTCCACAAAGTTTGCAACATCCACCATTAGGATATAAACCCTTAGGGTTATCAGGACATTGACGAGCAATGTGACCCTGAAATAATTAGTATAAACATACATTTTTAAATATAAATAAAATTCAAGCCATTATAAAACTACTCATTATATATCTTGTTATAGGTTTTAATTTTAAATATCAGAAACAACTGACTAATAAGTTTAGGTTACCCAATCGATATTCCATATCATTACTGAAACTTCTTAGTCACTTACACACTTTAACAGACAACTTAGACACTTTAACAAAGAATTAAAACTATCTTAAATGTAATATAGAAACTTACAGCCTCTTTGCAAATGAAGCAAGTAGCAAAGCGAAACTCTTTATCCCTCTGAACTTTACATTCAAATTGTCGATGCTCTGTAGAACCACACTTGAAACAAACTCCTTCAGCACTATCAACACCTGGTATTTTTGACTTCAAATCTGGACAATCTGAAAGGTTATGACCACCTTTTCTACAATTATAACAAACCTCCCTCTTCAATCGAGCTAAAGCTTTTTCTGCTCTTCTTCTCTCTAGTTTCATAGTTCTTTGCACTTCAGTTTTTGGGATGCCCTTCTTCATCATACTATTTTTTAGCTCTTCTAACCGCTCTGCATCTTTTTTCATGACAGGAAAACCATCAAATCTAATAAGTTCAATTTCTTTGCCATTAATTATTAGTTGAAAACTTCTGTCATTTATTTCTTTCCTTCGAACTGGCTCTTTATTTTTTTTATTTTTAACTTTCTTAATGTCTGCTTTTTTTTTTATTATTCCTGAAAGTTCATCTTGAGTGTTTATTTTTTCATTCTGGTCCTGGAAATTCATGTTTGTTGCATCCACTATAATATCAACAGAGTCGTTCTTATCTTCTTTAATATCAGCAGGATTTTTGGATTTTTTTTTCTTATTTTTCTTCTTCAATGTTTGACCAGTAGATGCCTGCTCTGCATTATTTTTGTCAATATGTTCAAGCTTTTCAGTTTGGATGGCACTATCAACATCATTTGATTGAGTTTTGTTTTGAAATGAATTATTTTTTTTCTTTTTCTTCTGTTTTTTAGTAACCTGAATGCATTCTTTTGACTCAACCTGCTGTTCATTTATTGATACATTGTTCGAAATATTTTGCTCTTTTGCCTTTTTCTTTTTTGTTGCGGGCACATTGCCCGTATTACTTAAATTTGAATTGTTGACAGTATTATCGTCCGGAAAGTCGCACCATGTAGCTTTTCTTTTTTGAACTTTCTGTTCTTTAAGAAAATTAGTGTAGTTCTCAATGCGCTGCTGTTCCGCCTGTGAAAGAATATGTTACCATGTACTTGAAGTAGGAATAAATACATAAATATCACAAGTAAAATAAATTCCTACTTCCTGCCTATGTTTTGCTTCTTCGCTTTCTTTTTTTGATTTTATTATTTGATCCTTCATAACTTCCCATGGCGTGCTGTCTTCAGGTGCCTTTTGGTTAGATGCTTTAGAACCTTTTGCTCTAGCAAAACGAGTCATATTACATGTGGCTTTGTTGTTACTTCATAAAATTTTATTCTTTTATTTATTCGCTCATGTATTCTAAGAATTAATTAGGTTTTTTGTACACGTGTTGAAGTAAAAATCTTAAAATCTAACCAACCAATTATTAAGTCAAAACAAAACGATTGACAGTATAACTGTCAAGCAAGTGTCAGATAGAAGTCTGTCAGTAGAAGTGGGCGATACAAATCGTATCAGATATGAAAACTAGATATTAGTACAATATCCCAATATCGCTTACTGGCTCGTTCAATATCTATGTATTTTACAATATCTGATATTTCCGAAATCTGATGTACCGTGCTCGCTCGCTATACCGACACGAATCGCGATACGGCGATATCATACGCGTTTGCCACAATATCTGATTTTTAAACAGATTTCGAGAAACAAAGCGCGTGAGATACAAATACTCACTAGTTAGAGCGGGACGGCAAGCAATGCACGATATCAGTTATCGAGCGACAAAGCGCGTGAGATATAAATACTTACTAGTTAGAGTGGGACGGCAAGCAATGCACGAAATCAGATATCGAGCGACAAAGCGCGTGAGATATAAATACTTACTAGTTAGAGTGGGACGGCAAGCAATGCACGATATCAGATATCGAGCGACAAAGCGCGTGAGATATAAATACTTACTAGTTAGAGTGGGACGGCAAGCAATGCACGATATCAGATATCGAGCGACAAAGCGCGTGAGATATAAATACTTACTAGTTAGAGTGGGACGGCAAGCAATGCACGATATCAGATATCGAGCGACAGAGCGCGTGAGATATAAACACTTATTAGTTAGAGTGGGACGGCAAGCAATGCACGATATCAGATTTTTAAACAGATATTATGAATAAGTTAAGTAATTTTGAATCTTAAAACCATGCAAATAAGATCCGTTTCATTTAAATACTAATCTTGGTATCGGCGATTACTACAACGATATTATTATATTTTTATTGTTTTGTTTAGCCTTGAGCCGTAACGGGGACAAAGCGCGCAGTTAAGTAATTTTGAATCTTAACAGCATGGAAAAAAACTCTGTTGCATTTAAATACGAATTACGGTATTAACGATGTCTTTGAAATTTTGTTCAGCCTTGAGCTGGATTGCATTGGTACCTAGCACGTAATAGTAAGGGATGCCAACTTACTACTTAAGAATTTTCTGCCTAAATTAAGGAAGAAAAATATACAATGGAAATTTTTTAGGAGGTAAATTTTTTGTGAATATTTTTATTAGCTAAATTTTATTCATATTTTTGGAAAAAAATAAAAGTACACAAAAAGAAAAATATAATTTAATAGTGCTGTGCTGCTTTGGTGGAAATCAGACCAAGGCTTATGTGCCTTGTGTGTATATTTTAAATTCTTCCGCCCTAAGCTATAATACTGAATGTATTATTTCTTACACAAATAATAAAAATATTTCCACTCGATTGCGTGTTCTAAAAATATGTTAAAGTCAATTATTAAGCGGTATATAAGATGTTAAAATAAATCATTTTTATATTACTTCAATTTATATTTTTAATGAAATTTTTAATTTAATAATTTAAAAAAACGCATTTTTAGTAAGACAGGGTTAATTATTAATGATCGTCGAACAAGACTTTCGACGAATAAAGTCAGAGAGCTTACGTTCCTAAACGTGAATTTGAACCCGGAGGGATATAAATAATTATTAACCCTGACATAATTGTAAATATATAATGTTAAGTTTTAAATATAAGGAAAATTATGTACATAGAATGAATCAACTTTTAAATACGCCTGCACAATTTTATATTTATAATAACAATTTTATATAAATATATAAGTATACAATTTTTTTTTTTTTTTTTTTAGAATTCTATTAATCAACGTGGATAGGGAACCGTAAAATATCTAGATATTAAAATACATAGTTTCGAAATCTGATATTTGAAATCGATATCGGATTCAGATACGGTACTCAGAAAAAGCGATACGACCCATCCCTATCTGTCAGAAACACCAGGTGTTAGTGATGTTTAGTACACTATATGTAGTGTACTGTGGTGTTAGTATACTATTGCTAGGTTCGATTCTGGGTATTGACAACGTTGGTTTTTAAAGAATATTTTTATAGTGTAGTTTGCTGCTATCCTGATGGTTTCAGGTTTGTTGGATGATGGGGTTGCGTTAACACTAGCATTGGACACCTTATGCTTAGTGACCCACTAAACTAACTGACTAAACTAGTCTTGTGTCGTACGCGAATGATGAACGATTAGGAAACATTTCTTTGCACTGTACTAAAAGGATCGTTTCCGAATGATAAATGTTAATCGGTCAAATAGCTCTTTCGTTCTTTCCACACAATTCATCGGTACCGAACGAAACGAACGCGACTGATCACTGAGACTGAGAAAGAGAGAGATTCGATCTGTGCACGGTGAGCAGTTACCGAGTAAAAGAGTGTATCAGTGGAGACCCGAGGAATTACGGTGTTAGTGTTACTGGCCGAACAAATCGGTTAAACTGTAAGTATAGAAATTTTGTTGTATACCAATGTAGTAACGACTATCATCCCAACCCTCTGGTGGTATCATCCCAAACCTCTGGTGGTAAGCGCAGCAAATTACCAACCCGACACATACGCGAACGTCAACAAGCGTCGCCCGCGAAACGTCCTCATCGACCCGGTCGAGGAAGGGGACTTCGATACGTCGGACCCACCGTAGGTGGTCCCGCAGGATAAAAGTACACCCACAGCTAGTGTAACAACAAACACAATAGTTCTACCTCGCCTCCGAGCACGGCGAGACCAACACAAACAAACTTATGTACATTCTAAACATTCAAGAATTTTTATATTTATTTATATTATTCAGTGCATAAGATTCAGTATGATTATGGTATTTGATAATCTTAAAAAGGCTTTTGATTCTAAAGTCTTAAGTTTATGAATCACCATAGTGAAATACAATATGTTGTATCTTTATCATAGATTCTACATCTAACTGACCAAATCCGAAGACCGAAGGAGCTAATAGAACTAAAAGAATGAACTAGTTCAGAGCGCTCTTCTAAAGGACCGAGCAGGCACAAGACTACACTAAACAGCTAAAGACAAGACCTAAGATTATAAATAAATATGCATCTAGACGCCGTGCCACCTTACAACAATATGTTTTAATTTTATAGTAATACTGTTTCGTCTTTTTGAAGACAGAAGATCTAAAGGAATATCTTTACACTCGCCTGAATTGTATTTGTGTGCGTAATGTAAGCAAAAATCTCTTTTATTTCTTTTAAATTCATTCATATGTTTTGTGACCTTTACAAATGAACTTTACGTTACAGTTTTCTATGTAAGGATGTTCTAAAATTGTTTGTTTTGGAAAATTTTATTACTCGGTATATATTGATGTTTAAAGAATGTAAATGTTTAATACAAATTTAAAAAGTTATCCTCTTTATGTGAGTTCATTTATTGTCGTGGTTATAACGACACGCTGTATATGGGATATAATAAAATAGAAATTATCATGCGATAAAAAAATATAATAATTAAATTAAATAAAGTACCCATTCATCGAAAAATAATTAAAATAAAATAGTTTTTCTTCAATTAATGGGTATCTAGTAGACCTTTATCATATAACACCTTTGTAGATACAGCCCCTATCTTAATTTTCCACCGTATGTCTTTTATATGAAATATGCGGAAGATATTTTTAAAAAACCATGTCCTTACATTTACTTACAATCAATATTCATTTCTACTCACTTAACATCAGGTGAACCACCAGCTCGTTTGGCACCTTATCATATAAAAAAGGTTCTTACCTCTCCCCTTGTAATTTTTTCTCTACTCAGTAAGGACCCTATACGGTATAGGCTATACCCATGGTCTAACTCGCGCTCGCGGACACCACCACACACTTCTATTCAGACAAACATCTCGATCAATGCCGCCAATCACCGCGGTGATTCGTTTCACAAATGAAGAATTGACGTTAAACCCGAAAAGGCCTAAAAGCATATTGCTACATGCTACACTTTGGCTAATGCCACAGTCAACTCCAACCTCTCACTGATTCAAGGTCGCCTGAACAGTAAACCTAGTTTTCTGAATCACATTGGGAGAAAAAACCTAAATATCTTGGAAACACGTTAGGACCAGTGCCAGGTTCGTATCCGGCCGAATATTTTACTTAACAAACTGTAGTAAAGTAAGTAAAGTATCAGCCTGTACATTTCTCACTTCTGGGAAAAGGCCTCCTCTGTACAGAGGGTAGCAGGAAATGGCTGTAGCTTTTGTTATATTAGGCTTGCCTATGACCTATAATGTGCTTTACAAAGTTCATTCAAAATAAATTCATCCGCTTTGCAACTGGTGATGTGACTCGATGATATCAGCGTAACGTCGACCTGCCTAGCGATTACAAACCCCCGACCATACGCGAACATTAGACACCTAGCCAAACGGTTCATCGAAAGAGCCGAAAACTATTCCACCCCTCTGGTGGCAACTGCACACAAACGTCACCCGTGCAATGTCCTCATCGGCCCAGTCGAGAAGAATAGTATAAAATAAATTGATTGGTTTAAATATGGTCCAAAAGATAAAGACTAGTGTTTCCCAAAGTGGGGCCCACGCCCTTCAGGGTGGCCGCGAGTTTAACCCTTTCCCTCCGGGCCATTTAAATGCAATGCAAAGATTTCAGTGCCAAATTTAACGAAAAAAGCAAATTCTTAAATAATTGTGGTAAATAATTATTATCGCTTTATGAGACCAAAATATCAACTGGGTGTTTGGCGTCGTCAAATAAACTTCCGTGAGGCATACAGCGGCAACTCAATTCACTATAGGTACATTCCCAATTTAAACTTTAATAAAAAAATATTAGAAAAACATATAGTAGCACATACACATACACTGATACCACAAAGATTCTAGGTTTCGAAATATATGAAATTACAAATTAACACAAATAAAAACAAGTGATAAAT